AAGTTACTTGTTACCAGGGCTGTCGCTAAGATTTCAAGTTGCCAGGTGTATGCAATTAGTAGATGGGAAACTGAACAGCTGGTTATTTTGGGGGGTTCTATTTGAGGTCCTGCCCATGGTAGCTGGAGGAAATCCCCAGTCTGCAGCCCTTAGTGGCAGCCCTGTTCACCCAAAGATTTTAAGCCAAAACACCATTTTGTAAACCCAGAAAAGCAACAGCCAAATTGTCCTTAATAATAATTTTTTATCATTTATCATTTGCATTTAAAAACTTGAATGTATCATCATTCACACATCTGGGAAATGTTGATGTGTGGTTCTGCAAGTGAAGGTTTTGCGTACTAAGTATTGGTGTTTACCCCAGCTCTAACATTGGACTCTTATTACAGTAAAAGCATAACATAACATTACATTGCTTATTCGCAAATAGATAATTGCACACAATGTATTGCTATTCAACTGGTACAGACTTTTCCATTGCCATATTAACACTGAAGGGATGCACGAAGTGAGAATCTGATGTCAAATTCTCCCTTTCACCATCAAAAGGTGAAGGTTGGCTTTTTTCCCCATTTATTAAATAATTCTTAGTATCATATTGATGATTTGAATTAATGTGGTGGTGTACTGTTTACAGGAAGTGTTTGCTGTGTCAGGAACCATACCCCGCCCAAGAAAGTATGCAGCAATTGTGCATTACTACCAGCCCAAGCATTCTTCATTTGATGCCAAAGTGTCTATCACCAGTGACCGTGCAGTAGATGGGACTGTCAAGTTCCATTACTGTCCTCATGCATCAGGCTGCAGATCAGTCATCAGGGACATAAATTCGGAAAATATCTTTGACATTGGACGCACATCTGTTGGCTTGGAGTTTAACATTCCTGCAAACGCATCAACTTGGATTGTAAGATTTTATTGATCTTTTCTCTTTTAAGTGAGGAAAACACCACTGACAGGGACTGTTTTTTTTGTTTTAGTAAATGCTTTCTTGCTCCTTACTATGGATGCATTCACACCTAAATCACACCTAAAAATAAAAAAGAAGTTCTGGTGTATTTAAGGATTTGTTGTGTTCAGTGTTTTAGGGCTGTAAATTTATTGGTTCCTTCTTTAGATATCGAGTCACAGATTATGTACAGCAAAAGAAACGATACATCATTACAATCAAACAATAAAGCCACCAGAGAACTCTATTGTTTGTTTCCTTTGGTTCTTTTGTGATGACATTATGATTACCTGCTGGGATATTTAAAGAAAGTCATTCAACTTCCTGTCCCGTCGCAGTGTACATAATGTGACTTGTGCTTACCTTTTTTTTCAGGATTACGTGCTGCTCATTCCAGAAGGTTCATTCACTGAAGAACTGCAACAGGATGCCCCAGTTCCTTTAACTCAAGAATTCCTTGACACCTGCAGTAAAGATAATTTCTTCATCAAGTCCTCCGATCCACAGTTTTGCAAAGACTCTGTATTCTCACTCACGACAAGCTTTAACAATGGCAGCTTCCCCTGTGGCTGTCATCCCAGAGGAGCTTATAACAATGACTGTAATAAGTTTGGTGGACAGTGTTTATGTCGGCCTAATGTGATTGGTAGAACTTGCAGCAGATGCAAGACAGGATACTATGGCTTTCCAAACTGCAGAAGTAAGTTTGACCTATCACATTTTATCATCTGCAGCATAATTGTGTAAAGGGGATTTAAAAACAACCCACACACTGTTTCTGTTCAAAATTAGTTAAGAATAATATGTTTCCCTCATGTTGTGGTCTACCTCTACCTCTGCTATTACAGGCACATTACATACATGTCGTGAGTTGGTTGAGTATAGTAAGCACATTAACAGACCCATAACGTCAGCCCATGGCACTCTTGTTTGCAGACATCCAAGCTTACCAATCATATATGATTTAAAGAGGACATATATTGTAGTCCATTACATGTATTAGACCATAAAAATTGCTAAAAAATGGAAAATTTGGGGTTAATGGATTTAGCAAGGTTTTATTCAAAAGATAAGTTTGATTCACTCACAATCCATGCCATGCTAATGACTTGTTTACATCTCTAAGTAGTAATTGTGATTTTTAATATCAATTTCAGAATGCCGCTGTGTCTTCTGTAATGAAGTCACTGGAGCTTGCGACTGCCCTAAGAACACAGTAGGTCCAAACTGTGAGTCTTGTTTGCAGGGAACCTATGGCTACGACCCAATCCTTGGTTGTCAGGATTGTGAGTGTGAACGATTTGGTGTAGCTGATGGCCTATTAACCTGTGAAGCAAAGACGGGCCAGTGTAAATGTAAACCATCGCACACTGGTCGACAGTGTAATAAGTGCGCAAAAGGTTATTACAACTACCCTTTGTGTCAAAAATGTGACTTGTGTGATGCAAGGGGAGTTGATGAGAGAATCTGTGATGGTGTTACTGGGCAGTGTTTCTGTAAGGTAAGGCAAAAGTTTAGGAAAATAATTAAGAGACGTGATTAATAGTGGTCAAATGTTAATCAAATGTTTGGCAAACATTGGTGCTATATATGCCATTACTTAGAACTCATAAAAATTTCTGACCCTGTATTCAACTTGAGTAATGTTTATTTATGGTTCATTTCAGCCTGGGGTGGTTGGACAGCGGTGTGATAAATGTGCAGCAGGATATTTCAATCTTGATGCAAACAACCCCAAATGGCTGTACAGAGTGCTGGTGTAATGGTCTCTCGGACACTTGCTTTAGTAGTAACAAGTTCTGGTAAGAGAGGAAAATCAACTTCAGCTCTTAATGTCATTCATGGTATAACAGTGATCAAAACAAAGGCCTTCACACACTTAAAACTTGCACAGGGACCCAAAGAAAAGTTAAGCATTCAACATTACCCATAATACACCTTGTAAACCCCCTCATAGGACAACTGTGCAAAAGGATCTAGTTGAAAAGAGGTTTCTTGAACTTTTCAGGTCATTATAAATTAACTGGTCAGCGCTCAATGTTTTGAGTTTCCTTCAGGTTAATATTTCTCTATGGCAGATCACTGGTTTTAACTTCTGCAGCCTGATTCAGATGTCATTAACCACCTCATTACAAGGTGTATAAGAGCATGGACATGGCTAGCTGTCAAAGAAACCAGTCTCTCTTCAATATGATATGGAATAAAGTCTACTAATGCTCTCTGTTAAAATGTGATTGTGTTGTTTCTACAGGTCAAAAGTGGTCAACATGTCTGATTGGACTTTAGAGAACACTCCAGCATCAGTGCAGAAACTTGGAAACACCAATCTGTATGCCTCTATAAGCAGTCAAAGGAATGATAAGGGTAAACCAGTCTACTGGGTGGCACCTAAAGATTACTTGGGCAAGAAGGTTAGCAGATTGACGATGACCTTAACTTCAGACTTTCTTTTTGCAACTGCATTTAAGTTATGTCAGTCTTAAACTGCGATGATCTGCTTTACATCTATTGTTTCATTCTGCGGTTTTAATGCGTGAAATTCATATATTCATCACTTCTTCTTCATTTTTCGCAAGTATATTATGAACCAGTTTGATGACCAGCTCCTCGTTGGCTTGCTAAAGCTCAATTGGTTAGAGTGCTGTAATGGTATTTGCAGAGGTCAGGGTTTGAATCCCAGCGAGCCTTTCTTTTCACAGTTCCATAAGTTGCCTCTCTAACTGCAATTATCTTCTTTTAGCTTTTATTTTAACTTACATTCTTGTTTATTAGTATACTAAAATTTGCAACTAAACTGATGCTTAATGTTATATTTCCCATGGGTCTAATGAAAAATGTAGTCTTGTCAGCAGCTGAGAAGCCATCTTGACTTGTGCAAAAGATGGCTTCTGTAGTTGAAAACACGCTTACGGCAATAGCTGACCTAGGAATCATCCTGTCCAACTCTGGAAGGCATGCAGTGGGAACCCTTCCAATAAGCTTCTCACTCTCTGTGTCAACACCATATTTTCAGTCAGGGTGATGATTATAGTAATGATGATGGTGATATTGATGGTAACAACAGTGCAACAATGTTCATGAGGATAATGGTGGTGAGGATTATGACAACAATGTATATGATGTTGTTGTAACTATGATGGAAGTAATAATGTTGTTGATGATGATGGTGATGATAGTTGAAGATGATGAAGTGTCACCTGCCTATTTTCAGATAACTTCGTATGGTGGAAAACTTACGTACACCCTAGGATATGAAATACCTCAAGGAGGCAGCCTTCCCGTACTCACAACTAAACCTGACATCGTGATTGAGGTATCTAGCTATGATCTTGATTAGCTTCTCGATCTTTACTTACATTGTATGGAAGGAACTTGCAGCTCACATAACAATGTGTAAAAAAATGACTATTGAGAGCCAACACAATTTTGATCAACCAGTTTTAACAGGCTACCTGTAAAAAAATGGAAACTCATTGCACTCTTTACTCGATTTTTGGGATTGTGCCATTTTAGGGTAAAAATAAAAAAGTTCTTCAGTACAAGAAACAGCTGGAACTTTCACCAGGAGTAACCTCATCCATTGAAGCACAGTTTCTGGAGGTGAGTTAGCTTAGTGTTAGTCAGTCTAAAGTCTGCTTTTATACCAGTGGGCAAGTGAACATTGATGCATACACTAAGCAGTGTACCATGCAAACACTTTTGCTCCATATTTTCCAGGTGGCCACTCAGTTCATGTAGTCAAGTATATTCATGCATAACTGTTAAGTTATGATGATGATTAAGTAAAGGTACTTAACAAAAAGAGAAGATAAATTGACTCATGCCGAAAAACATTATAACTCATAAACTCATTAATTTAAGCCTACATGTGCTTACCACAGCTTGAGATTAACCTTCCCTAATTCCATCTAGTGAGATAAAGAAAGAGCTCAGTGGCACCACTTTTTATGTTAAGTTTTTTGCCCTTTGTTCAGTTTATCTCTGATCATTACTTTTGGTATTTTATGAGAACATACCCTTACTGTCCTTGACTAATATTGAACAACGTTTGTGTCTCATAGAATTTATGGGAAGATGCAAGTGGATCAAATGTTACTCGAGATGATTTTATGTCAGTGCTACTGGACATAAAATCCCTTAAACTAAGGGCAACATACAGTACAGAGGTTGCAGAAGCGACACTTAATGATGTTGTCATGAATGTGGCTGTTGATGGACCTGTAGAGGGAGTGACAAGGGCCAGGAGTGTTGAAATATGTAACTGCCCAGAAAGAGCCACTGGATCATCTTGTGAGGTTAGTTCTTAATCTAGAAGTAATTTTGTCCTAATAGGTGTAGGCAGTATTTCTCTCTTTATCTCTGTTTACTCCCCTTACTAAGGCCCCTGAAGGATTTTTTCCCCAGTGTTTCTCGCTCAGAGACCTATCAGTAGATGGATACATTTTAGAAGGCTGCCGAGCTTACTGGGAGAGGGACTTATTCGGAGGGGGGCTGAAAGCAACAGGAACTTTTTTGGGGCTTGTTATTAGGGAGCCTTTTTGGAGAGGGCATCTTAGGAGGAAGAAGGACATTTATAAGCAGCGGGCAGTAATTAGAGGATGGAGTCTAAGTAATACATTTTCCTGTCATATTGGAAATTATAAGTTCGTTTTTGTTTTTTAATCATAGGTTGTTTAGCCTCATAAGCTGACATTCATATGAAGTACTAAGAATGTCTGTGTTGTTGGTTCCATTTTATCCTTGGTTTTTTTATTTTTTTTGTTGTTTTGTTTTTGGGTATGGTAATGTATGATAATGGTTTTGAAGCAAAGGAAAGTAAAATTTTTTATATCAAGGATAAAATTGAACCACAACATCTGCATAGCATACAGTTAAAAAAAAAACAAACAAAAATAAGAACACAACAGTTGATAAGAAAAAATTAAGGACTTGAAGACACTGGTGTACACTTATCATTCAACAGACAGGGATAGGCTGTCAAAAGTTGCTGAATAAATAATTTTGATGCTTGCTTTCTGTTTTCAGCTTTGTGGAAAGGGTTATACCAGAGGTGCTGACAATAGTTCATGTATTCCTTGTAACTGCTTTGGTCATTCCTCTGAATGCCATGATGAAACAGGAGAGTGCATTTCTTGCCAACATAACACGACTGGTAAGGCTTTTGGTATATGAAAGGGTAGGTGTTTTACTAATTTGGTCAGTAAAAAGGCTCAAAACGGCAAACAGATTCATTTTATGGCTAAGAAAAAGTTGAGAAAACGTCCCGGTTTTGTGATTTTTCCTTTTTTGAAGACAGTGTATTTACAGCAGTTAAAAGGGATGCAAAGTTCTAAACTACAGTCTCAGTCAGAATTGTTGGGACACTACTGTCTTTTTACCCTCCCAATGTTGGTGTGCAAGATTTGGTGAGTTAACTGTGATAAGCAACATTGGGAAGACGAGAAGACGGACCAGAAGTAAAAAAAACAGCGTTGGGTGAAAGTGTCCCAACTATTTTTGTCTGAGACTGTACGTATGGGAAAGGGGTACCATTTGTGAATTAGGGGTTTACGAAAAGGGTACCTTTTCTGCCAAAAATGGTATATAATAAGGTAACGAGTTGGATCTCGGGGTGGAGCCTCCCCATATGAAATTTTGTTGAACACCTCCTCCGCCCTCCAAGGAGGGCCTGGGGGGGAGGGGCAAGGGTCTAGGCAAGTCATGTTGCAACTAAATCGTCAACTAAAGGTGATGCTACACGGGACGATTCGCAACGACGATTTTTAGCGCAATACAGCGTTGCAATGCTGGAATAATGTTTAACCATTCAAAACAATGTTGCAACAATGTTGCAATGTTATGTTCTGCTAAAAATCATCGTTGAGAATCATCTTGGGTAACATCACCTTACGACAAGCAAGCTTAGGCCCTCAGGGCATGCAAAATGTGAGAGCTGCTTGTACAAATGACAAACTTGAATTTAGGTTTTCTTGTAGCCCTGCCTGCGTGATTATCATATACCTGCGGAAAATTATTGTGGATTTATATAGGATCTTTTTCACTGGATTTTCCGTTTGTGTCAGGGATGGAGAATGAGAGAAATTTTGTTTTGAAGTAGCCCAGATAATGTAGCAGTCATTAATTTAGTGAAGTAGTTTAATTTACCTTTTGGTACATGGGAATATTCCTTTCTACATTTTTTAGGTCGGAACTGTGAGGTATGTGAACCTGGTTTTTTTGGTGATGCCACTGGAGGGTCTCCTCTGGATTGCAGAATTTGTGAATGTCCATTGGGAACCACCTCCAATAGTTTTGCCTCTTCCTGCTCTCTTGATCCTCTCAATCAGCTTCTGTGTAGCTGTAGGGAGGGCTATACTGGACGTACTTGTGAGAGATGCGCCGATGGTTTCTATGGTGACCCAACTCAACCTGGAGACTATTGTAAGAGGTGTACATGCAGTGGAAATCTTGACTCTAGTGTAAACGGAAGCTGTGACACCCTAACAGGACAGTGTCTCAAGTGCTCCAATGCTGCTACAGGGGATGACTGTGACCGCTGTCTGACTGGTTACTATGGCGATGCAGTTGTTGCCAAGAACTGTGCAAGGTGTGCATGCAGTGACTGTGGCACTGTCACGGCAGTTTGTAACCACACTTCTGGGTTTTGCCAGTGTAAACCCAATGTCATTGGAGATCACTGTGATAGCTGCAAGGTAAAGTAATACACAGTTGTGTGGATGCTTCTCAAGGTACACTGTACTTCATTTAGTGACCAAGCTCCCCCCCCCCCCCGTCCCCCTTAATGAACTCTAAAGAGCAATATTTTAGCAGAAGAGTACTGCCCCTCTAGGAATAGTTTGTCAACCCAAGCCTCTAGTTGGTGCCAATTTGTTCACAGGAATACTGGAAAGGTTTTTTGGTTTGAGTGAAAATTAATTGTTTTCATAATATTGTATTGTAATGTCATGCTGAAGAGCTGAGTAATTCTCCTTCTTACTTCCAGTCCCTATTAACTTTAATCTTTAGTGCATTTTCAGTGTATATATTTTGTTTTACCACTAAATAACAAATCAACAGTACAAAAACTACAAGGTTAGAGCACAACATGGACCTATTTATAGATGCTCAAGGCAGCAAATTGCCAAAAGTATTTTGAAATGATCAGTGGCAATTGGAAACTATGAACAGAGCTTGAATATATTCCAGAGGAAAATGCCAGAAACATTCCCACATTCAAGTAGTAGTGTTCATTAAAATTAGAATTAGGGAAGCTAAATGAAATTCTTAATATCGTTTTCTTGGAAACTGAAGAGCGTTGATTCTTGGAACCTTGAAAAGCATTCTGATTTCTTTGTCTAGGCAAACACGTGGAACTTTGACAGCTGTCTTGGCTGTGAAGACTGTGACTGTTCACCAGCCTCCTTGTCAGAGTCATGTGATGTTAAAACAGGCCAGTGCCAGTGCCCTGAGGGTGTAACTGGAAGGAGATGTGACAGGTGTAAAGCAGGCTACTTTAACTACTCTGATGTTGGTTGTACGCGTAAGTACAATGCTAAGTAACAAATCAATTTGTTCTCTACTTAGCAATTTGTTTAAATGATTCAGATTGGATCTCCAACTTGATGTGATGCTGGTCTTCCCAAATCAATCTTTCTTAACAGAAGTGGCCGAAGTAGAAAAACGGATAGTAAAAACGTGAAAGTACTGCCAAAAACTTTTCACTTGCGTTTTGTCCAGAGACTTAAAAGTTGCTAGACGTGTCGGTACTACACATGTACCTTGTAACTTCCTCTTAGGGATATACAACTCTTCAATAAGACATTTACAACAAAGTGGCCGATGTAATCAGTTGTAAGCCTCACTTTTAGCAACAACTTGCTATTATTCAAAGTTATGAGCAAATAAAAAATAAATTGACGGGGAGGGATATTTAAAACCTTGTTTCCACGTGATCTGGGACAGGATCGGCCACCTTTCTGCAACTCACTGGAGATATATGCTTGGCACCAAAATAAACTAGGAGTTTGTTATTTCATGAGCAGAACATTAGTCTGTTTACACTGGAATCATCTGATCACATCCAATGTGGACGGCTTTCCTCTGTTTGTAGACCGCCCTGGACCACTACAGACTGTCTCATGGAAGCCGGGCTTAACTTGGGTCCTGCTGTTCTTCATACACTTTTTGTCCGGCGCTTGTGACGTGACCATATTATATTGGTTTCACTCACTCCATTTTCCTTCCTTTCCTTGTTTATCACCTTAGTGATGCATAATAATGTAAAATAATTTCTTTTTTAGCCTGCAACTGTGAAAAAGGCCAGGGGTCCGAAAACCTCTATGGTTTCTGTGACGTCAACACAGGGCAATGTTGTAAGGAAGGAGGAAATTGTACCATCTGCCCTCTAAACTACATCCTCACACCTGAGGGCTGTGAATACTGTGGCGAGTGTGTGGGCCGTCTTTTGAAGACAGCCACTGCCTTGGATCGCAATCTTACCCTGGCTCTGAAGTTAGTAGAACAGGGCTCAGCAGGAATTATTGCACAGGGAAGATTCTCAGATATCAATGAAACGCTTCAGAGGTACTGCAAACTGCTCTATTTTTATTCTTGTCAAGAGTGAAAGATTGTTTATCTGACAATATGTTTTTGTTTTTAATTTCTCAGTCTGATTCCACCAACAAACCAATATAATGAAACTATGGAAGTGGTGTCGAAGATTGTGGGAATCTCCTCTGTAAATGGTAAACAAGTGTTTTCCCTTTCTTTTGTCAGCTTTAGTTTTGTAACCATTGGTATGCCGGTTCTTACATGACTTTTCCACTCATCAGTGAACTTACGCAAAAGGACGGCAGACTTTGTGTAACAAGCGTGACAATAACAGTGTTTGTGAAAAATTTTCCACCAAACTTCACCTTTCTTTAAACAGATCTTTTTGTTAAAGACAAGAACATAGTACTATGAAGTGAAGATCGCCACAAAACACGTTAACAGCTGCTAATAGCTCTGTCACGTTTATCACGAGACAGATCACCCTAATCAATTCTGCATGGCTGTTCACAGTGAAACGTGAATAGTGAACGTAAAAGTGTCTGTCTGAACATTAGAGTGTTTTATCCCTAGAATCTGATGCTGTCCAAGGAAGTCTTATCGACAGGACACAGCGCTATGAGATGACAACTGAAGAAGTTGAAAATGAGGTCAAGGAAGTAGCAGTGAAAGCAACAAAGGCTTTGTCAAATGCCACATATACTAAGGAGGAAGCTTTAGCTTTAGAGAAAGAAATTAGAGATGCTGTCAACAGGACACGAGGTAAAATAGTTAGTACAGTCAAATTCCGCCTTACGGACACCCACTTTACAGTGGCGGATGCAGACCTTCAGATAAGGGGGGCTGGGCGGTCATCCACACCCTGAGATAAGGGGGGGGGGGGCCGGGGTCGAAAAACGTTTTTTCGGCCCTTCAGGCCTCATTTTGGTCGAAAAATAAGGGGGGCGGCCCCCCCGGGCCCCTCCCCTGAATCCGCCACTGCTTAATACAGACGCCTCGTTATTATGAACAGTTTGCTTTACCCCTGGGGAAGGAAAGCGCTGACATTTTCTGTAAATTCAGCTGGACATCTCGTTAATACAAACACTTTCAATGGCCCCCTCAGTGTCCTTTTAAACGGGGTTTGACTGTAGAGACTTGATTTTGAATGTCAAAGCAGCTACAACGCCGAACGAAATAGCTAAAACACTCGGATCTGTACAAGTTTTTTTGGGCACCACCCACCCCTCCCCTAGCCTAACGTTAACTCTGGCTTCTCTAGTAGGGTGAAATGCTGGGTTAGGGGAGGGGTAGGTGGGCAGTTTCGCGGAATCCTTTACCTATCCGAACACTTCCAATTCCCCTTAACAACGTTGAAAACAGTTTGTGTTGGACATCTGTTGCAAACATCTTGGGTTTTTCTCCCCTATATTTCAGCTATTAATGACCGAAGTTGTAGCTCTCGTCATTTCTGGTAATTTCTGCACTTTCCAAACCATTGTAGAATCAGTTACTGAAGTATCAAAATAACTGCTTCAAAGTACATGTACAGAAGAATACAATAGGAATACAAAACAGCCAAAAGGGAGTGCAGATGGGTAGTACTGAAGAAGGCTAAATTGGATTGTATTTAGGTTATCTTGAAAAACAGTGGCCTGCTGATTAATTATGCACTATGCAGAACCCATCAAAAATATAGAGAATATGTGGAAAACATGTCGAAAAGATGTCTCATCATTGCTGTGTGGCCAATTAGTGCAATTCAAAATCAATAGAAAAGGTTATGAAAGTTGATTAAATCATCACCAAAGAGAAAATGCTGTAGATACGTCTGGTGAAGTTTGTGTGTGGATATCGGGGCTTATGTAACAGTGATGCTGGACAAACGGTAGCTAGTGGACTTACTACGGTTTTTTCCATTGCAGACATTGTTAACTTTGCAAAAGAAATAGCAGCAACCCTCAAGTCAGACAAAGCAAACCAGACACGTCTTTTGGAAAGAGCTGAAGAAATATTGACAGAACTAAACTTCACTACTACAAATGAGACACTCGTCAAAGAACAGGAGCTTGCTATGTCTTCTCTGAGCCAAGCAAAGACCTTGTTAAACAACACTTTGAGACTGTGGAATGACCTCAACCAAGCCAACAGAACCCTTGATGAATTGTTGGGAATGTTTGGAGCAATTCTGGATAAGACTGGTGGAGTTCTGGAAAATGCCAGCCTAGCTATGGATACAAACAAGAAAAGCAGAGATTATGATTCAGAGGTCAGTACATTTGTTACAAGTCAAAATTATTTTCAGATTAAATTTTTTTAATCTTAATTGATTCTCTATTTCCTTTATCTCCTAGCCCTAATAATTCATGAATCAAGGCTAGGCGACAAGGGAAACTGAGAATCAACCCCTGGTCCCCATGTTAAACAAATTTAACCTGAATATAATTTTGACCTTTAGCATATTTCTTATATATGTAAGAGTTTGACTTTGTTGCAAAATTTCTTGACCAACGAGGCTATGTGTAAAATTTTTTGGAGATGAACTCTCTGATCGGTTTAAGGTGTGTCTAGAACTTGAATGAAGACTGCTCTCTTAATGAAATTTAGATCCACTTTGAACGTCCAAAGTATTAACTCAGAAAGGCACCGATCACATACTTTTATATAGAAAAGGAATACTTTTTCAACCATTATGATTAGGTCTATTTAGAAATGGTAGAGACAAGTACTGTTAATTGAGTCTAATTGATAATTGATAATTGGTAGCTTTCACTCTCTAAGATCAGCATTATTCTTCATAATGATGATTGTGGTGATTATTTTTTTTTTCGTAATGATGATGAGGATGATTGTGATGGTGACGTTTAACCCTGTTAAGTATCTTATTGACGACGAAAAAAAATTATCATTTCTTATTGTTATGATGTGTGTTATATTTAGACACCACTTACAGAAGCAATGACCAAGAAGGAAGATGTGGACAGTTCACTGATGGACCTGCAAGACGAGATCGACTCTGCAAGCAGTAAACTGATCAATGCTAGTAATAACTTTCAGGTAGATGTCATTACCAGTGTTGGAAAGGGGAGAGTACCCAGTTACGACAACTATGAGAAGTAGAACTTTGCTAATATAGCAATCAAGTCAGTTTTACTCCATCAACACGAGACACTGCTGGGCAGCGGTCTCCACCACTGTTCGTATGTGGGGCAGTCTTGAGTTTTAGCAGGGCCTTAGTGATTTAACAGTGCTTTCGCAGGAGTCAATCATTTTGCTCAAGTGGCTTTTGCGTGCAGTAGTTATAGTTGTTTTTTGCCTCCAGCCCTCCTCCTTTCTGGATGCTCTTTATGGTTTTTTACCCGAAAAACAGATTCCCTCAAATTGACCCCCACACCGCTAATGATTGCAAAACACATAACAGCCGTTAATGTTTTTTGTCTAATTAAGGAGTACGTCTGATGTTCTGTTGAGGTTGTTATCTGTTTTTTCCCACATATTTTCAGTCGTTTAATGAGAGTTTCGCACAACTAGACGACCTTATTGACCAAGTCAACAAGAGAATTGCTAATCTATCCCAAGCTCTGGACGAGCTCACGCCGTCAGTGAACATGGCCAACAATTATTCAGAACAACTGCGCAAGCAGGCGGATGACCTGGAGGATCTTCTTAAAGACATTGACTTTGCTCGCAAAGCAGTGAATGCTTCAAAGAGATATTCAGACATAGTCGACGCATTAAATGAATCACTTGCCATTGCCCAGGAAGCAGAGGAAATAGCCATGGATGCAAGAGATAAGGTACCGATTTTGGATCAGTTTTGGTTTCCGGGAAACCACCCACCTCACAAAGAACGCAGTTTCTAAAATCACATAAATTATGCACTCCAAGGTTAATGCCAATGCAGCAAATTAATAAAATCGGGGATCAATTCAGGTTGCTGCATTGGCATTAACCTTGGAACGCAATATTTTAAGTGAGAATTTTAGAAACTGCGTTTAAGGGAGGGGTAGGTACTTCAGTTATGCGGTTTTGCGAAAATTTGGCCGAAAAACGACAGATTTGGCGCATTCAGACCACTGCTGCAACTATATTTTGCGATTGTTGGGCAGTTCCGCAAAGTTTAGCTGCTCAAACAATAATAGTCGCCTTTATTAGAATTAAGGATGTTTCTAGCATTCGAGCAACTTCTGGAACAAGAAACGAGAAAGTTTATTTTGATATACAAATCTAATACGTGCACCCACTCCGTCAGAAAAAAAAAATAAAGCAAAATTGCAAATACTATTTTGTAAAGCACGGGGAAACAAATGGTACTACCCATAATAGTTATTACCCCCTACGAGATTTCTTATGAATGGTCACATCTTACAATTTTGCTACAGTTCCTTTTGAGGCCTCAGTTTTTTAAAGGGAGGATAACGTTATATCCTGTTGCAGGGGTTCAGATAGTGGGGTTGGGGGGTGGCAGTGAAAGGGTTAAGTATTAAATAAGGTGTCTCTTGCTGTGCGGCAGGCCCAAAATGTCAGCGGGCAGGCGGTGAAATCTCAGAATACCAGCTCTATCCTTAAAGAGACAGCTTCAAAGACAGAAGATAAAGTCGATAATGAGTTGAGCAAACTCCTTGATTACATCAAGAAAAGACTGGAACTTATCAGGGCTAAAATTAGAAACGTATCTAATGACTTGGCCGGTGTACAAGGAAACTTCCAGGAGTTTGATGACATGGCTGGCCGTATCGGTAAGTGCAGCCTTTGTACGTCTTTATGGCCTCTTGTATATTTTTGTACAACAACGATCGCAATGATAGGTGATAATGATAATGACGATGATTAGTGATAATAGTAATGATGATGATTATAATGATGCTGGTTATGCTGATGATGATGATGATAATAATGTCTCCTCCTTTTTCTCTTTCTTTGCGTTCATGTTACCATTCCATCTATTAGTTCTTTTTCTCCGTTTCTTTCTTTCCAAGTGTTCAAAATGCGTGTATAGAGTATCAATTTTTTTCTTCGTCATCAAATTTCCAGGCTCCGTTTGTTCAAATACTGGATAGCCCTATCCACCGGATAAATCGCTATCCAGGGGGTCACTTTAGTTAACCTTATCTTATGCACTTGCCTGTTCTGTGCTCGGTATTTAAACTATCAGAGCCGGGTATTTATAATAACTGAACTCAATAGGCCTCCAGGCCTGTTTGAAATGCGTCTATTGAAAGTATGTGAATGGTTCTCGAGAGTGGTCTGCAAGCCCCCTGGACATTTTGAGCAGCTACACTGTTTAGATGTGAGAGATTGTCATGTTATATTGTAAGCGCAGATGTGCGGTTTGGGATATTGATTGATTGATATATTGATTGATTGCTTGCTTGATTGATTGATAATGACATGCTGGTCTGTCTGGTCATTGCCTTTGTGTAGAGATTTTGAGCTGTTAGCTGGTATCAAGTATCATGTCGCTTGCGTAGTGGTGGTCGTTGGTAGAGGTATCGTTGTGTATTATAAAACACCAAGACATGTGGTGATCAAACGGCTAACTACATTATTGTATCAAATGCTAATACTAGGTAACCGAGGGAGTGAACTTAAGGACAATGCCACGGAATCAAAGAACTCAGCAGATACTTCACGCAAAACAGCTGAGGAGATTGAGGTATGCTTAATCACAATAGGGAAAATGGTCAAAGGTATTGTACACAGCTAGGAATCGCCAATCCATGGCCGGAATGATTGGTTGTCCCTTTAACATCAGGGTTCAAAGAAAGTCATTTTTAAAGCTTGCCATTCGGGCAAGCTGAAGCTAGCATATACTAGCCCAAACGTCATTTCAACTAGCCCCAAAAACATTTTGATGAGCAAAATTGATTTCAGAGTTCTTCTGTAATTTGAATTCCTCAAAAAACTTCACTTGTTAAGAACAGAATTCACCAGCCCAATAACAAAATCCACTAGCTTCGGGCTATCGGACACTACTTTCTTTGCACGCGGAACATGATTTCTCATTTGGATAGCTCCTTCTATAGTACTAGTGGGAAAAAGTTTAAGATATAAGTGCCCTAGAGCAGTTCGTCTGACAGTCGCCACTCAAGAAAGGAGGAGAGAATTGGAGCCGAAATGCGTTCCGCAAGTGTTTCTGGGATCGTTACTGAAGTCGCCCTTGTTCGCTATTGGCCAATTTTTTCCCCGTCTCTAGTAAAAGTCCCAAAAGTCTTTGCGAAAATTAACTCGGCCCAGTTTTCTTCTCGAGTTTCTCGCACACAATTATTTTGGTCTTCTGTCAAGTTTTCACACCAAAGATATGTATCCATCATCAGGTTCATCAGATAGGTTAACCACCCTAGCTGTAGTACAGCCAATCAGAAAGCTAGAAACGTGTTGTATCCGTCGACCTGATGACTTGTTTTACTTAGTATCAAGAGATCAATATTTTATAGAAAACGTGATATTTACTCTGTTTTCGTAATAATGGTAATAATGATCTTTACTTCCCTTAAGATAAAGTTACAGATCCTTGTCACAGATTCTTGTGAATTATACATCATGAAAATAAACTAAGAAGGTTCAACTTCCAGATGACTGGTTTGGAACACCAACATGACCACCGTTTTATAGTTTTGGTACACCAAAATGGCGGACATGACGTCACGTGAAAACACTCCCTTTTTCCAATTTTTTTTCATTTCTTTTTTCATTTTTTTTCCATTTTTCTTTTCAGGAGAAGCTTACTGGTCTTTCTGATCTTAAAAAGTCAGTTGCTGAAACAAACAACAACATAACAGATACAGAAGAGGAAGTTAGAAATGCTTTAAATATGACAAAGTCCATTAAAGGGAAAGTAAAGATTGTAGAGACACGGTATGAGAGGATTATTGAAGAGTTAGACGTCGAAGTGAAGCGTCGCTTGGATGACATTGAAGGCATGCTCAGCTTGGCAAACACCTTGCTCAGATCTACTTCACTTGTTATGAGATTTGATGGTAACACAACTAACGAACCTGAAGCCCCACCTGCTATTCTGAAAGAAACCAGGAATCTCAATATTCAACTCTACACAAAACCGGAAAAACCAGATGGACTACTGCTCTACATGGGTAGCGTTGATGATGCCAGTAACAATCGTCAGAAGCGCCAGTCTGATAATTGTGAATCTGACTTTATTGCTGTGGAGCTCGAGGCCAAACAACCGCGTCTGAAAATTTGCACTTCAGGATCATTTCGTACTTTAACAGATGGGGAGAAACGTATTGACACAAGTGGGAATCTTTGGTATAAAGTTGAGGCGGGCATGTAAGTTATTCACCATTAGAGGTTACAAATAGTTGTAAGTATAATGCGGTGAGCAGATACTGGGTAATAAAAATCATAAACGGTGAACTGGAATTCACATTTTGCTATTTTCAGACCTTAAGTGGGTAAATCAAGAGTTGTGGGTTAACCCCTTTAAGCCCCAAAATCCACGTAGAAATTCTCCTTACTAATCTCTATATGTTTCCTTGAAAAACTAGTTGAGAGAATTTGAGAGATCGAAGCATTTTCCTTAAGGTGATCATTTTATGTCAAGCTTTATTGGGCAAGATCAAATCAAAAAAATAAAATATATTTAAAAAAATGAAAATATACGAACATAAAGAATTAAAACCCAAAAGGGATGGGCACGAACGGGACACTCAGACCCATGCAGGGTGCCTACCCTAGGAAAATATAAGGATTTAAAATATATACAAAAAGTAAAATCTAGTTGTAGTAAGAGCAAAGTCTAATTGTGGAAAAATCTAGTTGTACAAAATTGTCGTCTAACTGTAGAGAAATCTAAAAGTATTTTAAAAAAGGAAAAGAAAATATATACTTATTTATATACTTGTATATATATATACTTCTATATTCAGTTAGTGACAAGAACATTCGCGAGAGATTGACCATGAGCAGACCATGTCCACATTAAAGGCATTCATTAAAAGAGACTTATACAAATTCTTCAAAAATGATTTAAAACAGCTAAGAGAGGTAAAACCACTAGGGAAGGCTTCATTGCATAAGTTGTTCCACAGTTATTTTAGTAATACTCATAACTTTTTCTTTGCATCATGTATTGAGAGTTTGAGGAGAAAATTGATGTTGGTCACTCTTGGGACTTAAAGGGTTAATTAAGGGACTACAAGCAAGTCCTGCAATCACGAGTTCTTTGTCAATTGGGTTTTTATTGGCCAGTTTACTGTCATACGAAAATAATTCAACACCGCTAGACATTCTTGCTTAAAAATCATAAATCGAGATGGTAACCCCTGAATAGGACCAGGACACACACCCGTAGAACTACGGGTAGTAGCGTTTGGCAATATCAACAAAATGAACTAGACAGCCATGACGGGCCCTTTAAATTCGAAAGATTTCGGGTCTCTTATGTATTAATTAAATCACTTAAGTTGACTCTCTCTTAACGAGCACCTCCTGGGATAAGTCTTCTTACAGGCTTACCGTATTTCCTCGAATAATAGCCGTACCTTGATTAATCGCCTTCTTCGAATAATCCCCCCTCCACCCCTTACCCCTCTCGCCATCTTCTCTTTTTCTGATACCCTCCCTGTCCAGTTAAAGTGGAGTTTGATCCAGCTAAACTGATTAGTGACAATTCAACCTCGGACGCCGAGGATATTGCCATTGAAAATTAATCAAGGAACCAAATTTGGAACACTTAAAAAGCCCATGTTCAGTTTATTTGATGTGATCAATTTTTGGCTTAATGGGTTAATAAAACAAAATATTTAGGGCACGACTTCCAGTGAGCAATATTTGAACTAATCTCCTCCCTCGAATAAGCGCCTCCTTTTTGTGAGGAAAAAATATTATTCGCCCCGGCTATTATTCGAGGAAATACGGTACTTTTTGTTACTGGATGAGAAACATATCTCTAACCTTCATTTTTTATCTCGACAGAACGGGCGATTATGCCAAGCTGTCCATGAGGTATTATGATGAAGGCCAACAAGTTGTTGCTGTTACCATTTCAAGACCTCTGATTATGAATAACCCCAAAATAACGTTTAACGACGAGAGCAAACTCATAGTGGGCGGTGTTTCCACGATGATGAAACTTCCCCCGAAAGTGACCACCACTAACTATACTGGGTGTGTGGATGGTCTGGAGATCAATAATCACATAGTCGGAAGTTGGAATTCAAACTTCAGTCAGACCGCCCAAGTAAGTATTAAAGTTACATACGAGAATTGAGCTGGTAATTGATATAGTATCCCCCTTATAGATTTCATCAGTAGACAATGTAACATAAATGTGTAATTTCGTTAAGGTTGCTCCTTTTTAAACAAAAGAGATTTCGTTTTTTTAACTGTGTGACGGTGAAATCCATCCATAAAGAATCAACATTTCATTTCTTTTACTGATGGATATTACTTTCAAACAAAATCCGAAACCGTTCAGTGAATGATGTCAAGAAAGACGCTCATTATGAGAGATTAAGACATAATAAACTTCTCGGCCAAGTTTCAAGTCTGTGCGATATCCCAAACTTCAATTATTCATCAAAATAATCCACGCATAGGTGGACACTTCCCTAAAACGGACTCCTAGAGTTGATCCTTGTCGTTCTTCAGTCATATTTTTTGACTCTCTGTGAGGTGGACACCTCCCTAAAACGGACAGTGTCCCTGCCGTTCCTCAGTGATTTTCTTTGACTCCCTATAATGCGGATACCTCCCTAAATAGACAGCAAGAGTTGGTCCTTGCTTTTCTTCAGTCGTTCTCTATAACGTGGATACCCCTCCTAAAACAGCAACCTATAATATTGGTGCTTGTTGCTCTTCAGTCATTTTTTTACACCCTACAAGGTAGACAGCTCCCCCCCCCCCCCCCCCCGAAACAAACATCTAGAATATTGGTGCCTGTTTCTCTTCAGTCACTTTCTTTGACTCTCTGCTAGGCAGACACCTTCCTAAAACGGACACTTCAGTCATTTTCTTTGAAGATGGAAACCTCCCTAAAACGAACACCTCGTCCCCGTTGTTGTTCAGTATTTTCCGTTGACACCTGTCTAAGATGGACACTTGGTACTTGTGCCAAAGAAGTCCATATTAGAAAAAAGCTGACTGTCAGAATTATTAAGTAATGTGTGATGGCTTTCAGACTGGAAATGCTGACAGTGATGAAACTAAGACAAACGATAAGCACTGTCCATCTCGTGACGGTGTAACACAATTTGCTGCAACAAAGGAGGACACCACGAGTCAGAGAAGGACCTTTTTTGGAACAGGATATCTCAAGTCAGGTTCATATTTAGCAACGACTGATCCTATGGGCACAGTGGACTTCAAATTCACAACAACATCATCAAACGGGTTACTGGTTATCGCTGTCGACGAAGAAAACCCATCGTTGTTTCAAGCCATGGAGCTGTCCAATGGGTACTTCATCTTCAAATACAATATGAAACATGGATACAAGGAAGTGCGGTCAGCCAATCAGTATGATACAGGAGAAGAGGTGAAAGTGCAAAAGTTGAAGAGCGATGGAGGGCGAGGTTTAAGATATACACTGACAATTAGAAGTGAAAAAAACACAGAAGAACTTGCAAAGAATACTTACTACTATCCAGTTGAAAGGCGCTTTTCATACGTAAATCCAAAGTATATTTACTGGGCAGGTGTAGAAAACAGGACCACCATTCCTCAAAATGTGTAAGTGCTTTTGAATACATTCAATGTTAATTGCGTTTTCCTACCGTCGAACGCAACCTAGAATCATCTTGGGATTCCTGTGTTACTTGGTTTTCGTGCGGTAGTCAGGACGACTTTTTCAGCAATTTTTTTTCTACTGATGAGCCCGTGCTTGTCTGGGCTCAACAGAGCGCACATTTGTGTGAAATTCTGGAAAGCTGGTTGCTGGTTGGTTATGGCGTATTCAACATGCGCAATTCGTTTGCGTCAGTGCTTGTTTTTACATAGTTATTTCAATTTAACATTAACTTCCATTTATTTTATCTTTCCCTTGAGAGCGTATTTCGATTTGTTTACGTCGCTGTTGGAAAGTAAGATATGTTCTTAACCCTTTCCTGTTGCTGCCATTGTTTTTCGTTAATAAAAATCGCCAGGTCTGGCTGGGAAGTTAGAGGTGGAAATGTTACACATTTCCAACACACACATTTGCTGTTTAACTTCGCATACAAACCCTGTTATATTACGCTTGGGTGACCCATGCCACTGCTGGAAACAACGAGCATCGTTTTTCCCCCTTGGTATTGGCAACTTTCACATTTCAATACTCACACAGACCCCATCTTTAAGGAACACGGTATACTCAAATTAAATGATATCCATTCGCTTCAACTGGGCCAATTTATGTATTCTTGCAAAAAATTCATTCTCACCCCCAAGGTTTAATAACAATTTCTCCCAAAGCAATCAATTCTACTCTTACAATACAAAAAATTCCCAGGCCTACCGTCTACCGTATTGTCGAACAAACACTTAGACGTTCTCGCCTATTTTCAACCCTTACCTCCTTTAAGAATATCCTGAAGATTAAATTATTAAGTAAATATGAAAACCGATCTTAAATCTTTCCATATTCGACTTTACGCCATCTTTTCTTCAATTGTTGTAAACATCTCTAGCCCATAGTTCGAGGAGGTCTAACCTCTCATAAGCTCCTATAGTTTCTGTTAGGTCTCCTCGCCACTTCTTTTTTCTACTTATCCTATATTATTTGTAATTCATTTTCTATTATTGTGTGGCAAATAACATGGAATTAAAAATAAATAAAAATAACTGTCATATATCTTACTTACGGCAATTTTTTTCCTTTTCTCTACAGCACATCCTCATTTTACAAAGGGTGTTTGTCAGACATGATTCTGTCTACAGGAAGTATCGCAGTTGAACCATCCCCAGGCTCCATTTTTGGATGTCATGTTAAGGTAGATCTATTTTCCAGCTTGTGATGGTTAAAGTAATAAATTTTGATACCCTCAAGATTATACGCCTTTAATGAATTTAAATAAATATCTATTTAACACAGTTAACAACTAGGAGCGCGGGTATGGTCAGCGGTCAGTGGTTTGGCTCAAGCACGGTCAGCCTTGCTTGCATCATCTCCATGTGCTCAGTACAACGTTTTCCTGGCAGCCACTCTCTTCGTTTAGCCTTTGGCTCATTCTTTACCCCCATCCTTCCCACCCTGTATTCTTCCACTGTTAATCAGTGTGGCAGGTGCCTGGTTCCATTAGCTGGGGGCTCATGGCTGGAGGGCGCGGGTTTGCCAGCCATGGGGGTGTAACTCTGTCAAGGGGCTGGCTGTGCCAAGGGTGGAAACCCCTGGACATCCCGAGCACCCACCTCTACTAAGCGACGCAGTTGTTAACTATAGTATAATACTCAAGCGAAAAGGATGGAAAAGAAGTTTAAAATGTTAGCCCTCCCCATAGTACTGCTCAATTGATGACATGTTAACCCCAAAAGAGGCCAAAGTCAAATTTTCACAAAATTTCCAAAATTCTTTTCGTAATATGGTTTAAAATAAGTAGCACCCTTTGAAAGCATTGACAGAGAGGATTCATTTGAATGGTAACGCCATAGGATTTCTTCCACGGACTTCAAAGTTTGAAAATAGTGCTGAAGAGGTTGGATTTAAATGGTCTTACCATAGCGTTTCATGCATACACTCCAAAGTTACAACCATCTTTAGCTGCGAGACGCATTTTCTTCATTCTGGGAGTAGAGTGCGTTACCTGCTATCATCAGATCTGAAGCACCCTTAGAGTTAAGAGGCTTTCTATAAAGTATTAAACTGTTACTACATACATTCAATGAAGCTAATCTGTCCAAAGTGTCCGCAGAAGGAAAATGAAGGGTTTAAATATATACAACCAGATATATTGTCCAATTTTTTGCAGTGTTGTACACTTATCTGGCATTATTTTGCTTTCAGCCTGCCTGGAATGTGACATTCCTCAGTAATAGCAGTTTTCTTCAAAAAAATCCAATCAAGAAGAATCGTAGAGGCTTTGACATTGGCCTTAGTTTTCAAGTACCTCCTACTACTCAAAATGGTCTTCTTTTACTAGAGTCTGCGGCTGGTGATGTATGTCATTTTGTATAGCAAGTACAACTACCATATTTTCTGGATTTAATGCCCGAGGCTCTGTTTAAATGCCTGGTCTTAAAGAAGAAGCGTGGTGGTTATACTGTTGTTGTTATCCGGTCAACTCGGGAGAATTGCGAACAGATCTCAATTGTGCTATAGGGGGATTGTGCTTTCCAAGAGATCAATCTCTATTCACTGGATTGAACAATTGGTTTCCCTTGTACTTGTCAATTGGATAGAGATTTATCCGGTGGAAAGCGCGGATAATGCTATCCACCGAATAAATCACTATCCAACGGGTAGTGATTAATGGATAACGCTATCCAGTTTTTGAACAAGCAGGACCAGGCGTAAATGATGGGGTTTTTTAACAATAGAAGAATTTCACAAAATATTTTGGTAAATAGAGTATATGTAGTAAGGTAGTGCTTTACATTTATTTTACCTCTTGACTCGATAATGTTAACCAGATGCAAAGTAGTTCTGTCTTTTAAGTCTGTCAAAGGAATGCAATTGTTGGGCCCTTTTTAAATGTAATGTATAATATTTGATTTATCTCAGGAGGCATATGCCTTTGTCTTGGGTCTGATCGACGGGAAGGTGGTGTTGGAAGTGAAAACAGATGGTGAACCCCTAACATTACAGACTGATATCACATATAACGACGGAAAGTGGCACAATGTTTATCTTGTTAAAGATGGTGCATCGTAAGTGCATTCTCACTGATGTTAATATACCCCACTTGCACAAATCCCATGATGCACCTTATTTGCCCCCCAAAATTTTGCAAAAGCATTGTTTTCAATTTCTCTTGGGACGGCTGTACTACCCAGGAGAAATGAAAAACAAAGGTTATGCAAAATTTGTAGGGGGGGTGGGCGGGGGGCATATAAGGTGCACTACGGGAGATGTGCAAGTAGCGTGTAGAGCGTTTTCACTCGCGTGACCAGCATCTGTGCAAATTTATTGCAACAAAAGAAAGCGTTTACATAAGAAAAGAGTTCAACTCCCACAGGACTGGTTTGGGACACCAATATGGCCGCCGTTTTATTGCTTTGGAACACCGATATGGTCGCCTTGAAGTCATGGGAAAACGCTCTATATTGGGAAGACTTTAGGTGACAATGACCTCAACCAGGTTGTAGCGTCCAGCGGTTTTAGTGAAAACAAGGGTTTGGGTTGGGTGCCTTGTCTCGCGGGCTCATAAAACCTGGTCTCGGTCATTCTTATTTAGGATTTTTCTCTACACTGAAGCTTGGCAATTTCGAAATATGAATAGACCGCGCGGCAGGCGCCGGTTTATTGTTTTGGATAACTTTTATACAGCGCGCAAGGGGAACACAAGAAGGAGAGAGGAAGCCTAATATTTATCTCGTTAAAGATGGTTCAAAGTGCCGAGTGAATTCTCACTAATGTTAATATACTGGGGCCACTGAGCACTTGGCGATATCGAAAAATGGATAGCCTGCATGGCAGGCACCGGTGTGCGCTTGCGTCGTCGAAATTTCTTCCTTCCCGCTAACAAACAACGCGCACGCGTTTTTCCCTATATAATAACATCGTGGTTTGCAATCGCGCTGGATGAGACGAAGAACTAGACGGATTTTAAGAGAAAAGGCGGACTGCAAGCAGTCTACGCACGCGTCCTCGAGATTTCTTTCTTCCCTCTAACAAACGACGCGCACGCGTCCTCGAAATTTCTCCCTTCGCTCCAACTAAACCAAGCCTTCTACGCAGGCTAAAATATGGTTGATGGTTTCAGGGCATATTGACTTCTTTCATTTTTTCTTTTGCAAGAATGCGTCTGAATGTTGATGATGAGGAAAAATCTGGGCAGCCGGGTCAGTACATCCCCAGGGCAGAGATGATGTATCTTGGAGGAATACCCGCTAGCTTCGAACTCAATCAGCCAGATGGCTTTAACCCCGACATCCTCAGTTCGCTGAAAGGTGGATCGATCCAGTACTTGACATCCAAGGGAGAGTACGTATTTGACCGTATTATTACTATTTGCATCATGCGAACCAGCCACTACTAGCGCAGTAGTCAACTATAAGACGGACACCTTTGGGACTGAAGCGTCCATGTTAGATCAGTGGAGAAAAAATAGCAAAGCCTAGGGAAAGGAGGGGGGATGGCTGGAAAGAACCCAAAACGAAGGAAAAACTGAATGCGCCAATGAATCACATGATTGATGTAGCTAGCTACTGGGCATGCTCATGCCAAAGACCACTGACCTCGGGCACTTAAAGCGCTCTTAAAACTGCTTTAATTTGCATTTAAATGCATTATACGCCATATATGACCCCTAAAAAAAAGAGAAAAGAAAAGACCAGGAGAGACCAACTCTAGGTGTCCGTTTTAGAGAGCTGTCTGCCTTGTAGAGAGTCAAAGATTATGACTGAACAACAGCAAGGACCAACTTTAGGTGTCCGTTTCAGGGAGGTGTCTGCCGTGTAGAGAGTCAAAGAAAATGACTGCGGAAGAACGACAGGGACTAACTCTAGCTGTTCGGTTCAGAGAAGTGTTCGCCTTATAGAGAGTTAAAGAAAATGACTGAAGAACGGCAGATTCAAGTCTAGGTTTACATTCTAGGGATAGGGAGGCGTGTCCCTAATAGAGATGTCTATTTAGACAGAATTGTCTTTACTCAATATTATAAAATATTATCAAATGTTTTTGTCCTTTGTGAAATTGCCTCATGCTGTATGTAGTTTCACTTGCGGGAGATAAATAACTTTCGCTGAGCTATCTAGACTTGTGAGATTTTGTGTGGGAGAACGTTCTTTTTTTCAGAATTCTAGGGTATTCAGCAACAAAGGGCCTAACCAAGAAATTGAACCGTGCAGATCATCGATTGTGCATACAGCCGTTTTTTATGTCTTGCCACTGAACATTACGCATTTTGATCACTTTTGATGTTATTTTACAGGGTGTTTAATTTTGCGGAGAATGTAAAGAGAGAATCAGTCACATTTGATGGTGATGATTACTCGGAACCCATTCCAACAGATCTATTTATACTAAAATCAACTACAACCCCACCACCTGTTGGTAATTTGGGTAAGTGCTCATTACTCGGCAGTCAGATGCGGAACCTCAAGGCCTAGAGAGGATTAGACGTAGGATTACTTGCATTTTGTAATAATACCACTTACACGTTCTTTAATTTCGTAAATGCGGGCAAAAGCACAGCTTCATGTCAAACAAATACATGTCTCAAGCAGTGTTTCTAAGTTACAAACTACAGAAATGAACTTTGAACAAATATAAGCCGAACAAGTTTTCAAAAAGTACAATAGGACAATTGCACGGTGACGTCATTTTACTACAACTACCAGAATCCTTTAGTTTGTTGTTTTCTTGGGCAAATTAAGGCTATTGTTCTTTAATCCTTAGCGGGATTGACAAATTTAAATAACGAAGCAAAACCGAAATGAATTCTGGTAGTTTTAGTCAAATATCGTCATCGTGCAATTGTCCTATTGCAATCCGTTTCAATCTTCTTCAAGTTTGTCCATGCGTTTCTCCTTTTGTATTTGCAGTGTTATTTATACCGTCTATATTCATGTTCTGAGCAGTTATTTTATACGTTTCTGGGAAACTGCTCATCTACCGCTCCCCTAAGCTAACATTTTGCCTTAATTGAGAAGTAATTGTTAATAGGGATCTTAAGCAACGACGACGGAGAGGGCAACGAGGACGGCAAAAAAGCAATAGGTTTAGATTGGCCTAACAACAACCTTTCACGCTTTTTTGTAAATCTCTTTACCGTCGCTGCACGACTACAACATGAACACAAGACAACAACTTTCTTTTTCTTTTCCTGAACTTTGATACAGTCTTTTAGAATTCAACTACAACAAAAATTTGCCAACATTTGCCGAATTATACGAGATGGAATAAGCGCGATAAAGTTTGAGGCAACGCGAATTCACTTTTTAAGTGACGTTTTGGTAGCCGTCGCCGTCGTTGTTGCTTAAGCTCCTTAATTTTGGCTTAGGGGGAGGGGTAGGTGCGCAGTTTCCCAGAAACGTATAATGACCCTGGTGGCAGGTCCCACTGTTTGAATTTTGATAAGTTCCATGACACAGCTCCGTTAGCATTGATAGTAGCTTGGTATTATGCTCTCAGTTAGCCAGTAGGATCGAGTAGTTATTTTCTGTGCCAACTTCTAGGTCACCAAAATGTTGAAACTGTGAATTTGTCGGATTGCAAGAATACTTCATTAGCACTTCAATACCGTGTTAGAAACTTAATAAAACACGAACCTCGAACGATTGAAAAATAGCTAGCCCCGTTTGTTCTTCTAACAATCCTTGGGTTTTTGGATATTTTTCTTGAATTATTTTGTCTTTTATCGTGAGTTATGCGCCTAGTTTGACAGTGAGGAGCGTTTTTGAGTGATGCCCACGTCAACCGAAAGTGAGACCTTCTGTCTTTGAATATTCGTTGACGCTACCAAGTTTGTGTTGACAGGTGTCTCTTCTCTTAAAGAAAAGTTTTGCCCGAAACTTTTGGGCAAAACCACTGCTCATTAATGCAAAATGATTACCTCCAGTTTGAGATGCGTTGCTCATAAACGCCTCTCTAGTTTTGCTTACCGTCAGTGGCTGAGACAGGACTACAATGTTTTTTTTTTTTCAGGTTCCTCCACGACAAGTCCAGCACCAAGTACTCCTTCCGAGACTACCAAACCACCTAGCACAACTGAGGAATCCACTACCCTTCCCCCGACAACAACATCTGAACCTGTGACTACGTCTGCCCCCACAACTACCTCTGAACCCACCACCACCCCACCCCCTACGACCACGTCGGAGGCTACTACTACTCTACCGCCTACGACTACCTCGGAGCCTACTACCACCCACCCACCCCCCACAACTACCCCGGAGCCTACTACCACCCCTCCCCCCACAACCACCCCGGAGCCTACTACCACCCCTCCCCCCACAACTACTTCGGAGCCTACTACCACTCCTGTCCCAACAACAACCTCCGAACCTATGACCACCCCATTGCCGACATGCCCCATGCCAGACGATCCAGCTGAGCTCGAAGACGTTTTAGGATTTGGCCTTGACCTCAATAGTCATGCGCTCTACAGAATCGAAAGAAAAAAGACGCTCTTCAAGTTGATTTCGTCCAAGTAAGTTGTATCTAGTTCGAGACCAGTGAAGTTTACTTTTGCTCAAACCTCCCGATTGAAAATTTAGCGTCAAAAATTCTGATGTTTCGTTTAAAGAAATAGCAGTTGATTTGACTACACTATGTAGCTGATTAGAATTAACAAACAGGCTAAATCGAGAACCGATTTTTTTCGGAAAGTTTTTCGGACAAAAAATTCGATTTTCCGATTCCAATTTCCGGTTTTCCCTCGCAAACCCAAGACTCTATCACATGTTTAATTTCACATGTTTAAAGTACCTCTATTGATTTCTAATTGTACTGTGCACTATTACGCATGTCTCTATAACATTAGGCTTTCTTTTTGAGAATCATGGGGTGGTTCTTCCATAAAAAGGACTGCGAACCTGTTAATTTTCATGACAAGTACCTGAAGAGAGTTTCACTTTCCATTGCATATAACTACCAACTGTAGGTAAACTGACATTAAGCTTGTCCTGCTTTGACAAGAATTATCACAGGGGATCCTTACAAACTGTGTGGCCGTTACTCTATTCATATTTGATAAGAAATGTTTGACGGGAATGTCGATAGGCTAACAATATTCGAGGGAAAAACGAATGTAACTACGATGAGTAAACTGAGGAAGGAAAACCAAGCTCGAGCCTTACTTACTGAAGAACTATTAAAATTTAAAATAGCTCGCAATTCCTTTCATGTATTTCAACCTGGCCTGCCTAGATTAGAAACTTCCACATGCAGGCCAGCAAATTATAAGACGTTTTTCGTTAAAACTTGACGTTGAGGTTAAACTGATTATAATTGTACAACGTAAGACCGCATAAATCGCCAACATTCTCCGATTGTGTTCTAAGGAACGACAATAGCTAATGATTTATTTGATTATGTTAGTCAACATTTATTCCAGGCTGTTCTAGCCACAGCACAGCTGATACCCTGCCTCGTACCCAGACGTCTCTCGCGCGCGCGCAAAGGAAGTGGGGAAGAAGACAACGGGCTTCGCCTGCCGTTTGTACTTTTCCCATGGTCCCTTGCGGCTTATCACCAGTCTCTCGCCTCTACCTTGCGAAAAACGAAGCGCCTGAGGAGGAGGCTGGCTAATACCAATATAGCTCTCTAGCCTCAAAACAAGCGTGTTGTCCGTCTCATTTTACTTACTTTATTCGTGGACTTGAGGTAAACGAAAAAGTCCAACTGAGGGCTCAAACCGGGATATCGAGGCGTCCGTAAGAAGGGTTCTCCGCTTAATAGATCGTCTGTTTGGAGAGCTTCAACTAATACTCCACAAAAATAAACGATCGAAGAAAATGGCTGAAAGAACGTCGTGGGCATAGACAAACAGCACGAAGGTAACTCTTTACGCAACTGATTCCTGACTCATATGATCAAGGTAGCGAGCTAATGGGCATGCGCATGCCAAAAGACCGCGAACCTCTGGCGGTGAGGATGTTCTCAGTTTTTAACTCCTTTAAATTGCATTTAAATGCATTTAACTCGATTGTACGTGTTCATTTGCTAATTTTTGCAGGACAGAATTGAAATTCAGTTTCCGTGCCTCCAACCCAGATGGCATCATGTTATACACCGCCAATGAACCATCGCAGACTGACTTCATAGAATGTCATTTAGAAGGGAGTAAAGTCGCCTGTAGCTTCAATGCGGGAGGAGGCACCTTGAAGCTTATTACCCCGGACGCGACCTACAGCGATGGAAAGTGGCACACGGTATGTACTACAATACGTACCACAACACATCATGGATCATTTGAGGTTTCTGGGTAACTGACCACCTACCCCTCCCCTAAGCTAACATTAACACTTACGTCTGGGGCGCTTAACTTTTTATGTATGGAAAATCCAATTCAAGTTTGTCCCCGTCCCGCCTGGACAGTGCTGGCTGTTACAAGTGAATACCTTTCATATATATCTTGCACAGGTTTTGCACCTCAACTTTGATCAGATGTGGGGGTGCGAGAGAAACCTCAGTAAGGCCCTGCTTATGAGTGTGTATTGGTGGTTAGCTGCAAATTTCATTAAAAATTGCGTAAAAAGGGAGAAATGTCCCAAAACCTTTTAGCCAGGATTGTAGCAAGCTAATGTATTTAGTAAAATTCCAACTAGTGGTCTATTATCAATGCTGCGTTCTGATTGGCTGAGCTACTACTAGGCTATATTTTCTAGAACACTAGTAGCGAAAAGCGCCAGCTTTGAAGGCTAAAATAATGGCTTTAAGTCTAGCTTTAACTAGCTAAAGTTATCTTGTCTCGATATTTTTGACCAACTAGTTTGATTTTACTAAAACAATTATTCCTCTCGCCCTCATGGTCTCTGAGTCAATAGCCCATTCGGCCTTAGGCCCTCATGGGCTATTGACTCGGAGCTCATTCGGGCTTGAGGAATAATTGTTAAGTGTCTCGTGCCGGAAATGCCCTCAGATGGTTAACATCAGACAGACAGACTGTAGACTTGGCGTCCATTTTCGGGGTCAGGGGCTCGATGTAATCAAGAAAAGACCGAACAATATTGCGGTTTGTAGTAGCAGCTTGAAGACATGACAGTTGTGCTGAGCATAGTGGATCTACTGAGCAGGAGAAAAGACTTCGCGAGGAGATGCGCTTGAAACACAATTTTACAACCTTGAAACCAAGACTATCCTTTCACGTGACTTTCACGTGCGCGCTCTGTCTCTCTCTCTTTGTGCGCGTGCATTTTTTTGGCCTCGCCGAAACGGCGGAATTTATTTTTGAATCAACAGCGTTTAATTCGCTATTTTTCTTCTCTGAACAAAGAAGGGTTACACAGGAAATCCGCTGTATTTCCGGTTCTTCTTTTTTCATGTGTTACAATACAGTCAAACCGCTCTCTCTATTGACACCTCTTTATAACAAAGAGTTCTTCTGTAAGAACACTTACGTCACAAAGCAGTGTCCGCATTATACAGCTATGATCATTATATAAGTGTTCGAATTATCGAGGTGTGCGCATTATAGAGGCATCCTTATCATAGAGGTGCCCATTTTACAACGGTGATCATATTATTGAGGTGCCCACATCAAAAGAGGTGTCTGTATTCTAGAGGTAGGGCCGCATGAAGATTTTCAGCACTAAGAGAACTGTCCGTAATCTGGAAGTGTCCGTAAGGAGATATGGGGTGCTTACCATTTACACAAACCACCCGGGTGAAAATCTTGTGCATAAATATAAAACTATCAAATTTGACGTAGTGGTAGAACGATCCGCTACAAAGTATATCTAAATCAGCTGAACAGGCTAAAAATAAAAGAAAAACTGCGTCGCCCCAAATCACAGCCCATAATTTCTGATGCTTCCCAAACGGAATGGCGGAACTATTTGATTTTCCATTGTAAGTAACCATGGACACGTATATAATGGGGAAACTGGACTTTGTCCCTTTGTTGTCCTCATTTAAGAGTTTTCACTTTATGTTCACTTGCTCAACATTTCGTCTAGGTTGGCAGACGAGGGGTCGTATCGTAGCGACGTGCAACAGCGACAAAATTGCGTGCCGCACACACACGGGGACGTCAGTTATCTAGGACTTGTAGCCGGGGCACAATCCGTAAACAAGCGGGAATATTTTTGTTGTTTTAGTTTGCTAGTGCACTAACACAAATAATTTTGAGCCTTGTTTCTCATTACCTCAGCCATTGATCTCGGCAATGAGTGACCAGGCTCAGAATTCATATGCACCTATTCTATTGGACCATGTTTTCATTTGAGGGCTCATGAAGACCTTTCAACATTTTGCACCCTTGACACACCCCATTGTCGCCCTTGTCACGTGTACAAATTTGTCCTAAGTTCAGAAACTCTTTATGGCCACAAAGAAAGTAATCTCTTGTGAATATGGATTATTCAGTCAGTGACACAAGTGATTTGAAAAATGCCCGAGTGCTACTAACAAGAGTTAAACCTATGGCCAACTGTTTACTAGTCCACCATCCACCATGCGCTACCTCTTGCGTTTCATCAGCTCCTAAATAGTGCTCTTGATTTCTTAGGTGTGGCTTTCCAGGCAGAAAGTCGATGGAACGCTTTATGTAGATGGCATAGCAGTGGATTCAGGCAAAGCGAGTGGCTCACCCACCTACATAAACTCACTTGAGAGGTTCTTCTTAGGAGGGGTTCCCGAGGATTTTGATGCCAAACGAGTTCCGGTCAGTAGAATTGCAGTCTCATTATTCGATACACCTTGTCTTAGTCTTGACCTGATAACAGGGGGTACTAATCCGGTCGGCTGGGGTTGTACGTAATCCCAGATGAGTTCCGGAACTTCATTGATGTTCTAGACTGCGTGCAGTCTCTCTTTTTCTCCTGATTTCCGTCACGCGCGTGATCATTTTCATGTCTTGCGCGTTTCGCTTGACAGACTAAGAAAAATAAGAGAGACTGCTTGTGGTTTGTTGATGCTCCCACCAATAGCGTTCCCCCACCGTTCAATATATAAGCACAACATACCTAATTTACAATCCCTTGATTCCCTATGAAGAATTGCTAGCCCTCAATACGCCAGCTTTGCATTCTTTTTAGGGTGGTAGATTAACTTAAACAATTCAGTTGTTAAATCAAAATTTTGTTTCACTCCCCTAACCCCTTCCCCCTCCCATCGCCACCCCCGCGCCCACCGCAGCACTGCAATTCCTTAGAAACTAACCCCTCAAATCACCTTAGGCTGGTTCAAAAAACAGTTTCCCAGGATGCATCACGAACGTGACAGTGGATGACAAGAAGATCGATACTCCAGTAACTAACCTGTATAAGGCGCAGAACTGTTACCGCGACAGCCCTGAATCAGGAGTCAGCTTTAAAAATGGAGGAGGCTACCTCAAAGTTGGTGAGTTGACTTCAGCTTTTTGACGAGCTGCGAGGATTTGCCTAATTCCATTGACACTGCGGAAAAGAGTGCTTTTAAGGGGTCTTGTTACGGCCACGTTGCTGTTTTAGGTCAGTTACGTGGACAAGTCATACAAAAAGAGAGGCGTAGAGGGAGAGGCGTATATCCGAGCAGGATTATAACTGGAAAAGAAAAAGCGTTTCAAAATAAGCTAGAGCAGGGCTGATCGAGAAACCTTTTGCTTTTACTGGTTTTAAATTAAGCTTCAAAACGTCGTTATCGAATTCAGTTTAGTGATCTTAACCAAAGGCGTTTTTGAGCGATGCACGCCAACCGGAAAAGAGACCTTTTCTCTTTTAATATGCCTGGAGGCTACCACATGTGGAACGTTAAATGTCTCTACTCTTTTAGAGACGATTTGGTGGAAGGTTTGGGCAAGAGCGTTGCTCTCGAATGCAAAAAGTCCGCTTCCGGTAGACGTTCGTCGCTTAAAAACTTTTTTTTTTTAAGCTCACTTTTAATACATTTAGAGGAGGGCTTTTTTTTAGGGGAGGAGGGGGGTTATTATCAAATGTACTGTTTACTGGTAGTTGGACCTATAACCTGGGGGGAGGGGCTAATAAGTTTTGTCAGTTTTGGTACTTCGTTCCTTTTTTATACTTGACGTGTTTGCGTTTTTTTGTCAGCCGATAAATACTCAGTTGGACAACAACAGGAAATCTCGCTTGAAATCAAGCCGACATCCCACACAGGACTCCTGTTGTCGTCTTGGAATGCAAAAGGAGACTACATTGTCCTAGAAATGTCCAATGGAAATGTAAGTAACGTTCTCGGTCGCTGTGATGCCTTCAACTTGAACTGGTCCAAGTTATGGTGTAAAGTTAACCCGTCAAAGGTCGGATCATTCTGTGTTTCTGGGAGACTGCCCACCTACACCTCCCCTTAGCCAACATTAATACTTACTTCACACTTAGGGATGGAACATTAGAAAACTTATTGGGGGCGCGGGCGAAGTACAAAAAAAATATTCGCGCAAGGGAAAATTAAATGAAAACAAATTCATGCACGCTAATTAACCCTCAAAAATATTCATGCTATGGCCTAAAAAAATTCATACAAGAAATTTGATAACGAAAAAAAATTCCTGCGGCTCGAAAATTCCCCACCTCCCCCTCATAACTTTTCTAATGGTCCGTCCCTTAGGGCAAAATAGAGACCTTTAGATTCCACGACGAGTACGACTACGAGTACGAGATTTTCTCAATACTAAGTAGTGTACGCGCGTGAACCAGCGTCATTTTGGCGGGAAAACGTGGTAGCCGTCGTCATTCTACTACGAGTTTTCGCGCGAATGTCGTGGTGGCGAAAACAAGATATCAAATGTTTAGAAGTTTTATTATTTTGCGATTGGGAGAGGGCGTATAACCTCCTTAACTAAAGATAACAATGCTAACTTTTCCAGTGAAAAATGGTAAAATAAAGCTTTCCGGGGAGTCTATATTTTGAGAATACGCGAAAAAACTTTAAGTCAAATCTCGTACTCGTAGTCGTCCTCGTCCTCGAATCTAAAGGTCTTCAATGATGACTTGGGGGAGGGGTAGTTGGGCAGTTTCCCAGAATGTTCCAAGAGCGACCTAGCCTGTGTACACCCCCCCTCCCTCAGACCCCCCTGCCCTCATTTTTTTTTCCTGAGGGGAGGGGGGTCTGTACACAGGTTAAGAGTGACCAACATCAGTTTTTTCCTTTAGATATCAGTCCATAATCAAGAGAAAAGCTGATGAGTATCTATATAATAATAGGCCACTTCCGAGTTCCAAAAACCCTCACTTTCAAAATGAGGCCAACCTCTCTTGTGAAAATGAATTTAATTTGCATAAGAATGAAAAATCATGTCCATATCAAAGGCTGCGCACTTAACCTCGTTTTGATACAGAGGCCCGGGGAAACTCGGAAATTGCCTATCGCCAAAGGGGAAATACTTTCAACTTTCATCAAATTTTCTTTACTTAACCCATAAGATCAGTTTGGTGAACTGAATGTGTATTTTGTTATTGGGGCGTAAAGGGATGATAGTTGTGGTGTCGTTTGATGCATTTTTCTCTCACGTTAAGGTTCTACAAAACAACCAATCGGTAGAGTGGCTATGAAATTTCCGGCGTAAAACACACACGCAGAGAAGAAAAGCGTGGATGCTTTAAAGTCGTGCGTTGTATACAGGCCATTTACACACTGTAGTTGGTTATTGATTTTTCAGAAATTCGCGCAGCCTGTGAAAGTCGAACTTTAAAGGGATTCTAAGCGAGGAATGCAAAAAGTTTATGACATTGTCACAGCTCCAAGACCAATGTCTTCTAGGTTTCAATTCAGAGATAAGATGGCTTTCGTTTCGCCTTGTAAAACGATTTCCGCAAGTACCCGCTATTTGTTTTATCAGCCACTCTAGTAGTGAAAAACAATTAGAGGATAGTATTAAGCGTTTTGCTGCCAAAGAAAACCCTCCGATAGAAAAGCATCGTCTGGCGATAGCTTGTACGATTGACGTCATTTAGTTTACCCACATACCGCAAACGTCTTCCAAAATTTGAACAACGTTAGGGGGTTGTGATTGGTTATGAAGATTAAGCTGGGGGATTTGAGCCTATCAGAAAATGAGAACTATTTTGAATGAATAATTAATTGTTTTTATTGATGGTTTTAGATCATATTCCGTGCAGAAAACGGTGGCGGCCAGCTGGTAGCGCAGCATAGTGTCAACGACCCTCTTCAATTCTGCGATGGGGAGTGGCATAAGATACAAGTGTGGAAAAGAAACAATGTTGTGAAAATACAAGTGGATGAAAACCCTTCTTATGAGAGCGAGCCACTAGGAGCCCAGACCAGTGCTGATATCTATGATCCACTGTATGTCGGAGGACTGCCGCCTGGTACGGTGACAAATCCTTTTATCTTCCTAAAAAACATAAAACTGTAAATTTTTCTGAAAGTAAGCCCCTACTTTTGTAAGCTCCTCCAAATAAAACCTGTAGTCCAGAACACTCTTTACCACTGGGCAACCAGGCCTCCTTTAATTCAAAAAGTGGAATAATGAATTCCGTTTTCACTCTCTATAAGACGGTCACCTCCCTAAAACGGAGGCCTAGTGTTGGACCCTGCTGTTCTTCAGTCATATTCTCTGACTCTGTATGAGGCAGACACCTCCCTAAAATGGACACCTAGAGTTGGTCCTTTTGGTTTTTCATTCATTTTCATTGATTCTCTTTAAAGACCGACACCTCCTTAAAATGGACACCTAGAGTTGGTCCCTTACGATCTTCAGTCATTTTCATTGACTCGGTATAAGGCGGACACCTTCCTAAAATGGACACCTAGAGTTGGTCCCTTACGTTCTTCAGTCATTTTCTTTGACTCTCTGTAAGACTGAATGGACACCTAGTCCTAGCGTTGGATGTACAGTTTCTTGTTTTTCAAGCAGTATTGCTTATTAAACGATTGTATTTTGTTTTGTAGTGGGCGAAACTGCCAAGGGTGTTACAGTAACAGAAGGTTATACAGGATGTGTGCGTAACTTGATTTCCAAGAAACCTGGCGGAGACCCTCAGACTCTGTACCTTGCTAATCCGCTGATGATGGGTGGTAATTTGTATCTTGGTGGATGTCCTTACAAGTGATTAAATTTTTCTTTAGATATCTGTCAAGAGAAAGATATAAGGGATATTTTGCACTTTCTAAGCAGCCTTAATAGCATTTTTATTAGCTTATAAGTAACGTAATTTTGTAATAAAATGCAGTTTTAATATCAACGTTGTCTTGTTGTGTTGTAGTTTCCTTGTTCATTCAACTTGTATTTCACCCTTCTCAGGTCAAGTCAAGTCAGGTTTTTTATCACTTTCCAATGAAAATTAACCTCTTTTTAAAGAATAATAATATAGTACAACACTATACACTCCTATGCATCACTATGCATATCTTATCCACACCCCTGCTATACATTTCTTTAAACCTTTACACATTACCATACACCGCTGATCTCAAGTATTCCATAAACCCTGGCCAACTACCAAGAAAAACGTGCTATTGAGTACCTCATGTCAGAGCTACTCTCTGTTAATGAATGTGAATAGGTTTTCTAACTCGGTGTGTCCGATGCAAATGGAAGTGCTAGACCATTTGGTCCCTTATCATCCATCAAAAGAATTTTGAAATTATTCTAGAATTAATAGGCAAGTACCCTGGGCCCAGTTGTTCGGAGGCCGATTAACGCTTAACCCAGGGTTAGATTTAACGTGGGTTTCTTTTTCTTTTGGTCCAAAGCATTTTCTCGGATAATTTTCTCTGTTATTTTTAAGAGCATCCAATTATCAACTTGTTGACAAAAAGAATTAAACTGAATTTACTTTTTAAGCTTTCGCATCTGAATTTGAATTTCGCACTAACCCTGGGGTTATCTTAACCCAGCTTTGAACAACTCGACCCTGTACTTGAAGTAAAACTGTTGTTAACTCATTGACATCTTCCACATAGTACAGAGGTAGCCTAGAAAGAAGGTTGAGTCGTCCCTCAGTCTCCTATTAATATTAACGATAAAAGCGCGGTCAATGGGAACGCGAGTGTCAATGAGAAGAAGGTTTGGGTCTGAAAATGGTGTTTGAAAAATCGTCTTCTACAGAATCCTGACAAAACTAAGCTTATTGTTTATGGACCCAGGCCACGGTTACAAAATATCCCGGATATCTGTCCCTTTTAGGAAAAGAACTAATACCGGAGTAGCCTGCGTAGCAGGGGTAGAGGGATTAGGGAACGGACAAAGGTAGGGGGTTTGAGACAGGAGGCAAGGGACGCTTGCTATAAAAACACCCTTTTGTTCACGCCAATTCCTGATTAGCTCAGCCGTAGTGAGTAACTTATTAGTTTGTATCCTGGCGTGTATTATTGAGAGACAAACATGAGGCAGGCATCAAAGAAATGAGTTCTACTGGCAAAAGCTTTAGAAGATCTAAAGATCGGGGTTAAAGGTCTAGGCGTTGCTTTTGACTCGAGCCTTACTTTTCACGAGCATATCGTTAAAATAGTTTCTTCCTAGATCCTGCTTCTCATGTTTAGCTCAAATCAATCGTGTTAAGCACGTGTTTGGCAGATCGACTTTAACCACGATCGTTAACACTTTAGTGTTTAGTAAGTAATTTGACTAGCGTCTTCCCTTTCTAAATTACCCCCACTGGGTTTGCTTATCAAGAACCTCCATGTAGCCTAGGCCCTAGAGGTGACCTTGCATGAAGATCTGATTTTGGTTCAGTGTTGGGCCAATGCTTTAGAGCTCGCCATCTCAAGCTCTTAATACGAGTATAAAGCTGGAAGTCGTCAACATATAAGGGGTACTAGAGACCCATGGTAGCGAAGTGTACATTCACTGTACACTTTTTAAAAAGTAGACGTCTTGAAACGGATCAGCGAGAGAAACGATTCTTGGAAGAACATAACAAATTTTCACGGGGGATAATTAAAAAGACTTAAATTGAGCCTTGACACTTTTGCTTTTGTGGCAGGAGACTCCCGGCCGGGTGATGGATTTTTCCCTTTGACTGCTTGCTTCTTTTCAGTAGGGAGAGGCTGGGAACGGCAGGACTTTTCCGCGGGTGGCGGGTGGCGGGTGACGGGTAGCGGGTGACGGGTGGGGGTGGCGGGTGACGGGTGGCGGGTGGCGGGTGGCGGGTTAAAAATATATATGAAAATAAAATATTATAATAAAATATTATTATTGATAATGATATAACTGTATGTTGTAATTTTAAAATAATTTCAACGTTTATGTACTAGCTACCAGACTCCAAATAAAAGTATTGTCTTGTTTTGTTTTATCTAACAGCTACCTACGTGGACTAAAAGGAAATCATGCCTGTGAAAACAGTCAACTCTCCTTGCTTCGCACCGCAAGTGACGTTTCGTCACGCTACACGCGGTATGTCAAATGAAAATGGGCCATGTCAAGCAAGACACATGGCACGTGTCGATCTTGTTTGTCTAGTTTGCTTTTTCTTCCACATCAGGACGAAAGATGATTGCAGTTCCCCAACTGTTTAGCCGTGTTTATAACAGACTGCAAGAGATTCTATTATTCTACACGATATCGCATGCACGAGATAGCTTGAGGAACTCATAAAAATTAAAGTAATATTTATCCTGCGACCAGACAAGTAAGATCGCATTCTCTTCTCGACATGTTTGAACAGTGTCTCAGATTTTTGACAAGTGCGTTTGTTGTTTTGTTATAAGTTGGGATAAACATTGCATTGCCGTGGGATAAATCTTTGCCAGTTTGGTTCCCGACTTGTAGTTTAAAATGAACAAAGTGTCTATTTCGAGAAAACAAGGAAATTTTCCTAAGACTAAAGCAACAAAGCTGTCAATGTTAATGCGTACCAGAGAAGGAGCAAGAACGTTTTGGACACAGCATGGACCGTTTTCACCGCATGTGGCGTCTCGGACGCGAATTGATCTCCTTGTATATATATACAAAAAGGATCTGCATTTTTTAAATACTACTTAAAAATACTGATTAGGATGGCAATCATGCCGCATGCTAGGGCAAAAACTGAGCCACCCGCCACCCGCCACCCGCCACCCGCTACCCCTCACCCGCCACCCGCTACCCGTCACCCGCCACCCGCCACCCGTCACCCGCCACCCGCCACCCGCCACCCGCCACCCGCCACCCGCCACCCGCGGAAAAGTCCTGCCGGGCTGGGAAGGGTATTTGAACCTCCCCCGGCACCCCCCGGCACCCGAGCGAGACCCTGTGGACGAGTCAGTCAGCGGTGTATCTTCTGAGCGGTCGCTAAGCATAACAGACAGCAGACAAAATGGCGGATCGATGGTGGACAAATGTTTAGTTTCGTTTGCGGGCCTTTCCTCGACCTGTGATTGACCGACTGCACTTAACTCTTCACCTCATTCTGTTCAGCAGACATTAGAGGTAAATGATTTGAAAGACTAAATAACTTTTCTGCAATTCCCCAGACAGGCACATGTTAATTTAAGTAAGCGTGTTTACCTAGTGTTCGTGCAACAGGTCATATTATGATCCCGGGATCATGATCAAAATGCAGACCTTCCAACTCTCACGGTTTGGGATGCCATCTCAAGGTCTCACGGTTTTGCCTCTAAATCTCACCGTGAACCAGAAAACCTTGAAATTGCCAAAAAATTCCGCAAAGTATGAAGGAATATCGAATAATCTGTTTTCATGACAGCCGAATTAATCAAACTTATTTGTGAGAAAACCTGGGTACAATGTCAGTTCCAGTTCCAGGGTCGTTTAATAATTTTCCAGGTTTCTAACAAGGGCACAAGGCGTTGATATCACAGTGGGAATTTTAATGTTGATCTTACTGCATGGTGGAGCTTGAATGGACCAGTTTTCCTATATTAAAGGTCATAATTGGCTCTAAGGCTTTAGAAGATACAGCAAAAGAACAGAATTATTCATCCCTAAATCCCAAGGTGATTTTTTGTGTTTTAGTCCCCCATTAAATCTTAATTCTTGTTACGATGCGTGATGCTCATACAGACCCAACACTTAAGAATTTTTGCATCTTACTTGGGTCAATTTTTTCTGGGTATGTGCCGCTGGTCTCTCAGAGCCCCTACCCCATTATAGTCTATTCTGAGACCAATTATACAGTAGGCCCCATCTTAGTCGCTTTTGGGCAAATATGTAATTTTCACTATCCCAACTTAGTCACTTTCTGTTTGAGTATCTACCTTATCGATCCTTTAAATAGGTCGTCTTAAAATGAAATGACCCATTTTTAAAATTGAATGAAGAACACTTTACTTTACACCTACAGGACAAACATTCTTGTACGTCTGCTAACGGTAAATATGAAAAACTGTCGTGCCCCAAAAACTCCAAAAATGTGCAACCCCATTCTGGTAGCTCTATTGAAAATGCGACCAGTCAATCGAGTCATGAAAATGCAACCCCATCCAGCGGCACATCCCCATTTGCCTCCCCCCCTCTTTGGGATTAGCGCATATTTTGTTGAACGATGTTACCTCAATTGCTTCTCTTCTATCATGCAGTGTTGAAAGTCCAGACAGCTCTAGAGCCTTAGCTCTCTATGTAAGAAAAAAAAGAATCCTGGGTAAGTTTAACTCTCTGTCTCCTATCCATTAGAAAGCCAGCAATCCAGCATAAGATGTGGTTAAAATTAATGATATGTATCTAGCAAAAAATAAATAGTTAAAATAATGAAAAACCAGATTGTTACCTGATATATTTAAAAATACTTTTCTACTATGGATTTAGGTTCCTGGTTATAATACCAGGAATGCAAGTTCCTTCCATAAGTGCAAAACTGATAGAAGACTTTTTTCATGTCAGTACTAAGGTCCTTTGTTTTTAAACTCAATAAGCCTAGACATTCAAAGCTCAGTTAGTGTATCAACTTTATGAACAAACTGAAAAAACATATTCTCACTTAACTTGTTCTTTTCTCATGATCAGCCTGGCTTTTTGCTCTTTTTTTTGACTTTGTATTGTGTCTTTTTTTTTTTCGTTCTATTTTTTTTCTTTAATACCTTATTACTGCATGTTGTTACTCTGCCTTGGCTGTTCAACTATTATTTTTTAGTGCTTTTTGTAATTTAGTAGAGAACGCCCTTTTTGCATAAGCCTCATGGTGTCTCTTGCCATGGTGTCTTTTGCCATTTTCTCATAATTCCTTCTTCTTTATTATTTGTAACATCACAAGGTGGCAAGATAAAAGTAATAATAATAAAAATAAGTAAAGATTTTCTAAATGTAAAAATTTTCATTTTCAGGGTTCTAAAGTGATATTTTTTAAAAGAGAACAACATACAATGTCCAAAAGTGAGGAGCCATCAAGATTAAGCAGTCTAATGCTACCAAAGGTTATGAAATGCAAGTATTCTGACAAGTGCTTTAGCTTGTCAGCAAATTGCAAGCAGCATGAACAAACCCACACAGGAGTGAAACCTTATCAGTGCAAGCATTGCGATAAATACTTTACACAGTCATCATATTGCAAGCAGCATGAACGTATCCACACAGGAGTGAAACCTTATCAGTGCAAGTACTGTAATAAGTGCTTCAGTACTTCATCACTTTGCGAGGAGCATGAACGTGTACATACAGGAGTGAAACCGTATCAGTGCAAGTATTGTAATAAGTGCTTTAGCCAGTCATCAAATTGCACATACCATGAGCGTACCCACATATGTCCAGGAGTAAAATCTTATCAGTGCAAATATTGTGATAAGTGCTTCACAAAGTCATCAAATTGCAAGCACCATGAACGTACGCACTCAGGAATAAAGCCTTATCAATGCAAGTATTGTGATAAGTGCTTCAGTTATCCATCACATTGCGAGGAGCATGAACGTATACATACTGGAGTGAAACCGTATCAGTGCAGGTATTGTAATAAGTACTTTCGCCAGTCATCAAGTTGCTCGGCGCATGAACGTACCCATACAGGAGTGAAATCTTATCCATGCAAGTACTGTAATAAGTGCTTTACACAGTTATCACATTGCAAGGACCATGAACATACCCACACAGGAGAAAAATCTTATCAGTGCAAGTTTTGTGATAAATGCTTCACAAAGTCATCAAATTGTAAGCAGCATGAACTTACCCACACAGGAGTGAAACCGCATCAGTGCAAGTATTGTAATAAGTGCTTTAGTCAGTCATCAAATTGCACAATGCATGAACGTACCCATACAGGAGAGAAATTTTATCCATGCAAGTATTGCAATAAGTGCTTTACGTACTTAACATCTTGCAAGCGCCATGAACATACCCATACAGGGGTGAAGCCTTATCAGTGTAAGTTTTGTGATAAGTGCTTCACACAGTCATCACATTGCAAGAAGCATGAACTTACACACACGGGAGAAATATTATCAGTGCAACTTTTGCAATAGGGCTTTACCCAGCCATGACATTGTACAGAGCATGAATGTGCCCACACAGTAGTGAAACCTATTAATCAGTGGAAGTATTGTAAAAGACGTTTTCGCATAAGTCATAAGATTGCAATCAACATGAACTAGTCAACACAAGAAAAATGCTGTATGAGTGCAAGTATTGTGGCAAGAGCTTGAGTTATTCATCATGTTGCAATTAAGAGCATGTACATGACAACACAGGAGTGAAACCTTATCAGTGCAAGCATTGTGATAAATATTTTCATTTTGTTATTACAAATGCTGTCACTGCAAAATTTGAAGGAATTTTTCAGCGACCCCCCTTTAAGCCATAAGTTTTTTCATGCCCCCCACCCCCCTCAAATCCCAGGAGCCCCCCCCCTACCTGATGTAAAATAAACAGTCCCTAAATTGACAAAGGGCTTAAAGTAGAAAGCCATGTAAAAGGGGAGGAAGGCAATTGGAAGCCAGGAATGCAATGTACAGGAGGTGGGAGGTTTGAGGTTTGGACCCTCTCCCATCTATCATCTCCCAGATATCATTTGACTTGTCAAACTCGTATTAGCAGAGTTGAGTGGGCCAAAACTAAAGCTTTATAGCTATTGAATGAAACTTGTGGTGCATCACATGAAATAGAAATAATTCCTTTTTCCAAGACTAATATTATTAGTCATGTTCTTCATGTCATATCTTTTTGGCAGAGTCATTTGGGGTACATGTAGGTGGTTTCTTTTTGGAAATGATTCCAGTTAATAACGGTAGAAATTAAAGCCCGTACCCTTTCTTTAATAACCCCCGCCCCCAGTTTGCTAATCAACAACTTCCACCTAGTCCAGAGATAGCCTAGCATGTATGGAGATCTGATTTTGGTTGAGTTTTAAGCACCTACAGAGCTGTCAACTCTCCCAGATAATCCGGGAGACTCCAGATTTTAAACCGTTTCTCCTGGTGTCCAGATTAGAGTCTGAAATCTCCCGGATAATCGCCGAAGTTTGTCATTTCTTGTAGATTTGACTCTCTGACAGTGAAATTTCAAAAATTTTGCGTTGTTTGAGCTATTTTTCTGTTAAGCATTGAGCATTTCCTCACAAACTCCTGTATACCATTGTAATATAAGCAATAATGTGATTGGTGGGAAGTAAACCAATTAGGTCAAATGTTACAATTAAAACAACATCTTTTTCGCGCGTTTTATTTTTGCAAAAAATGATGTCATGTGCCCTGCATTATGACGTCATCTATCACCCACTGCCCATCAATTCTCAATATTTGATGAAGTGGGGGGGTTACAGCCCTGCACCTGTGAACCATCACTTATCACAGTTTGCTATCTGATACTCTAAATTAGAATCCTTCCTAAGCAAAACATTACGTTGGGAGTCGTCAGCATACCAAAGGTACTGGACTTGTAATAAAAGAAGTCCTATTAAAGATGGAGGAACTCAACAAGTTTTCACGCAAAATAAATTGACAACTAGGGCGCTTTCCATTTAGTCAAAATTTCCGGAATTTCCGGTTCGGCGGTAAATGGAACACGTTTCGTCGGTTCGTCCCACTGGAAAATTCCCAGAAAAAGTGGAAAATCTAAAAAGGTGGTCCCGTTTTCCCGGTTGGAATTTCCGAACGGAATGTCGTGTTCCATTGACGTTTCTTGTAGTTTGTACCAGTTCCAGGTCCACGGTCGGGCACCCGGCCACGTACCGGGGTTTACGACCAAATGGAACAACTTTTTACCGATCGGAAATTCCACTTTTGCTACCACCGAAATTTCCGGATTTTTTTCGTAAATGGAAAGCGCCCCTAGACTTAAATTGAGCCTTGGCACTTGACTATTTGCTTCATTTAAGTAGGGAGGGGTTGGGAGGGGTATTTGAGCGTAAAGCCTGTAGTGGGTGCCCCCACGTCAACCCGGATAGACCCTGGGGACGAGATAATTTACCGATCAGCGGGACACGTACGGGACACACTAATCAGCGGGATCAGCGGTCTATCTTCTGAGCGGTCGCTAAGCATAAAAGCAGACAAGATGGCGGATCGATGGTGGACAAATTGCGGGCCTTTCCTTGACCTGTGATTGACCGACTGCACTTATCTCTTCACCTCATTCTGTCCCGCAGATATTAGAGGTAAATGATTTGAAAGACTAAATAACTTTTCTGCATTCCCCAGACATGCACATGTTAAGTTAAGCAAGCGTGTTTTTCTATTGTTTGTGCAAATTATTTAACATGTACGAGCAAATATGGTTTACATCATCTTACTTCCCGAGTTCCCCATTAGGATTCCCTTGATCACAAATGTGCCATTAAAGATCTACAAGTGTACGATACCCATACAAACGCAATATTAAAGAATCTTTGCATCTTACAGATAAATGGTATTTGTCTACATGCAGCAGAAATAGTTAAAATAATGTTTCTATATAAAACCGGATTGTTACTAGATATATGTCAAAAACGTTTTCTACTAAGGAATTAGGTTCATGGTTATAATACCAGGAATTCCAGTTCCTTCCATAAGTGCAAAACCAACATAAGACTTTTTTTGTGTCAGTACTAACATCCTTTGTTTTTTTACAGCTGATTTCATTGCTATTTTATGTTGCAGTTTATTTTTTATTTCAGTTAATTTTTGTTTTTCCTTTGTTTTGGGGTATGGTAATGTATTCTAATGAATTTAAAACAAAAAATAACTGAAATAAAAAATTAACTGCAACATAAACACCTGCGTTCGAATGTATTTTGGTAGGCGATTTCATAAAGCAAAATAGTCCGATGTTTTATTGTTTAGTTTTGTTCTGTATGACAAGGTTTGGGTATTTTGGCATTGATGAATGTCCTCAATTTACATGTAACAGTGATGCAAATTTAGTTAACAGGGAGGCAAATTTGTATTTCCTGAAGTTGGTACTTTTTCGTCGTTTCTTAGCGTCTGCATGGTTAAAACATAACAGGAAAACTTGATGTTTTGCAGAAGAAATCAACAGATAAATTCATCAGTCTGCCAATCCCAGAAAAATATCACAGTCTTCAATCTATGACCCTAGTGAACTCAAATTAAGAAAACCTTGAATAAAAGAAAGCAATGTTTGTTTTGATTGAAACAGGATAAAAGGTAATATTTGTTTAAAGATCAAGGTAGAGGCCTTACAAAAGGTCAAGGAAAGAGCTGAAAACTTATAAATTGAGATTACACTCGCAATAACATGTATTGTGATTAGATTGCATGACTAGTGTGAGAGACTGTCTGAAAAAGAGAACAAATTATGGATCACAGTCCTCTTTTTCTGAATTATAAGAGAAACAAACAAGCCAAAATCATCAAAGTAATTTTCAGATTGTGTGCTTTGATTCTGGTAGGATATTCAAGGCAAAATACTGTACTGCTTGTTAACCTCTCGGTAGAATCATGTGTAAAAATCCGGGTGTATACACAGCACTGAAATCAACTGTAACTCAACAAGTCTAGACATTCAAAGCTAAGTTAGTATCTCAATTTTTAAGAGCAAACTGAAAAAATATTTTCTTAATTATCTTGTACCTTTGCCTTCATCTCCCTCCCTTTTTCCTTTTCTTTGCGTTGGTCTTTTGTCTGTTTTTCTTTGTTTTTCTTTATTACCTTATTACTACGTAGTGTTACTCTGCCTTGGCTGTTCAATTATTATTTTTTAGTGCTCTTTGTAATTTAGTAGAGAAAGCCTCCTTTGCTTAAGCCTCATGGTTTCTTTGGGCTTTCTTGTCTTCTTCTCATAATTGCTTCTACTTTATTATTTTGTAACATCACAATGTGGCTAGATTTAAAAAATAATAAATAGAGATAAATAAAGATATTCTAAATGTAAACATGTTCAATTTCAGGGTTCTAAAGATAAGAACATACAATGTCCAAAAGTGAGGAGCCATCAAGTTTAAGCAGTCTAATGCTACCAAAGGTTATGAAATGCAAGTATTGTGACAAGTGCTTTAGCTTGTTAGGAAATTGCAAGCAGCATGAACGTACCCACACAGGAGTGAAACCTTATCAGTGCAAGTATTGTGAAAGGTGCTTCAGTGCTTCATCACATTGTAAAGAACATGAACGTACCCACACAGGAGAGAAACCTTATCAGTGCAGGTATTGTAATAAGTGCTTTAGCCAGTCATCAAATTGCAAGCAGCATGAACGTACCCACACAGGGGTGAAACCTTATCCGTGCAAGTATTGTAATAAGTGCTTTACACAGTCGTCACATTGCAAGGAGCATGAACATACCCACACAGGAGAAAAATCCTATCAGTGCAAGTATTGTAATAAGTGTTTCACACAGTCATCAAATTGCAAGCGACATGAACTTATCCACTTAGGAGTGAAACCTTATCCGTGCAAATACTGTGAAAAGTGCTTCAGTTATTCATCACATTGCAAGGAGCATGAACGTACCCACACAGGAGTGAAACCTTACCAATGCAACTATTGTAGTAAGTGCTTTACACAGTCATCACATTGCAAGGAGCATGAACGTACCCATACAGGAGTGAAACCTTATCAATGCAAGTATTGTGAAAAATGCTTCAGTGCTTCATCACATTGCAAGGAGCATGAACATAACCACACAGGAGTAAAACCTTATCAGTGCAAGCATTGTGATAAGTGTTTTTCCCAGTCATCAAATTGCAAGCGCCATGAACGTACCCACACCGGAGTGAAACCTTATCAGTGCAAATATTGTGAAAAGTGCTACAGTATTTCATCACATTGCAAGGAGCATGAACGTACTCATACAGGAGTAAAACCTTATCAGTGCAAATATTGTAATAAGTGCTTTACACAGTCATCTCATTGCAAGGAGCATGAACGCATCCATACAGGAGTAAAACCGTATCAGTGCAAATATTGCGATAAAAGTTTTAGCAAGTCATCACATTGCAAGCAACATGAACATGTCCACACAGGAATTAAGCCCTATGAGTGTAAGTATTGTGGTGAAGGCTTCAGCCAGTCATTACAATGCAAGCAGCATGAACTTACACACACAGGTGTTAAACATGATGAATAAAAGTATTGTTATAATTAGTGCCTTTCATGGTCATCATAATTTTAATTGATTGCAAAAAATATGAACCTGTGAATGTATCAATGTAAAGGAGCCTACATGTAGAAGTTGCGGCAGTTATCGACTAAGATTATTGTGTCATGCCAAAAGTTGTTTCTACTAGTTTGTTCAAAGGCCAGTTAAAATGTTGCAAAACCTTAAGCTGTTAAAAAAGTTTGGAACAAAAGCAAATGAACTCATTCCCTGATTGTTTGATGTATAATTCATATGATTTTGGAGAAAATCTTTAAAAATAAAGGTGTTTGTGTTGAAGGAAATCAACTAACAATGCTCTTCCTTTGGCTCATTAGTTAGTTTGATCACCATTTTAGACTACAGAAATTCTAGCACTGTGAAACCTGGATCACATAAACCTGTCTAACCCTAATCTAACCTTTTTCTTATATTATAGTGACTTGCCGGGTTGATCTGATCTAGGTTTTGTTGACACCAAGGTGTAAAATAGTGTTTTAAAGTTTAGCATATGTTAACCTGTAAAAGAAAGATGTTGTGGGTTATTAGTGAAGTGTAACATGGGGTTGAAAGCCCAGGATAATAGAAAGTGGGAGGGGTATGGGAGGAGCAGAGCAAAGGGCATTAGGTGCGAGTTCTAAAATGGTGAAAAGTGGGGGAATATATGGGGAAATTATGCAGCAATACTTAATATTTTCTATTAGACAAAGGGCTTAAGGGAGAAAGCCATAAAAAAGGGGCAGGAAGGCAATTGGAGGCCAGAAATGCAAGGAACAGGAGGTGGGAGGTTTGGACCCCCCGCAGCCCCCTTTAATAGAATAAGAATAGAATAGAATAATTCTTCATTTAAACATGGTAAAATTAATCTGGAGTATAAAAAAAATTATAAATAAACCTAACTACCCTAAACAATATGCAAAACTGTCTACAACTAACCTAACTAAGAACTGTTTTTCATGAATGCCGTGTACTCAGTACTTTAAAAATCAATAGGAAGATTAAGAAGATTTATAGAAGATGTCATTTGACTTGTCCAACTCTTATTAGTAGAGTAGAGTGGGCCTACACTAAAGCTTCATAGTTATGGACTGAAATGTTTAGCCAGCACCAGTAATAAAATTAATGAAAGATTGTTTAGAAATTTGTCATGTTCTACTGTCATTTAAACTTTTGGAGTTCTTTGGGGTAGGTGGTTGCTTTTTGGAAATTATTTCATTGGTTTTTGAAATAACAGTCCCAAATTAAAAATGAAACCCATTTTTATGCGGGATTACGTGGTCAGCCAGTGTCATAAATTCGTCAGCGCATTCATTTCATATTTTTCTTGGGAGCAAAAACTTGCCTTCTGTTATTTAACTTTCCTGTATCCCGTGCCCGTAAAAAAATTCTGTGATTTTCATTGGCTGCAACTTCGAATCAGGTGCAAGTCAGGTTGGATTGCACAAGCAGAAAAAAGCTACTGTGTCAGCAAAGAACGTTGTACTCGCTAAGAAACTCTTCAGGTTAGCTTGTATGTAGCATGTCTATCAAAAAGCTTTTTAAAAGAAAATGTTGTTACATTGAGCACGCGTTGATATTCGGAGATTGTTCCACTTGAATTCACATGTAACATAATCCTTGACTATAAACGTGACAAGCTGCACATTTTTCAAATTTAACACCTTTTCAAAATAGCATTAAAATTTATTCTTCAAATAAGGATGGCTCATTAGTTAGTTTTTCAAAAGAAATTGTTACTTCTGCTCTGACAGGCGTAAAATATGGTCAGCGGCGTGAAACAAAAGTTTTGTATTTTAAAAAATCTCTAAATAAACACAGGAGTCTCCTCAGTTTTCAATAATTAAATATTTTTACCTGATTTTTACTGCTTTGTAAAACGTAACTTAAGGTTTTTATTCCGAAAAATACGATGTATAAAACAAGAAACGATACGAGTATTCTTGTGATTGTTATAGAGAAAGGTATGTAAATCTATTAAGTCCCACATGTCTTTGGTGCTGTGTCATTACTTATCACGTTACTGATGTTGTTACCCTGTGTTACCCTGTGTTACCTTTTCTTACCCTGTCCTACCCTTTGTTACTCTTTGTTACCTTTGTTACCCTGTGTTACCTTTGTTACCATGTGTTACCCTCTGTTACCCTTTGTTACCCTGTGTTACCCTGTCTTACCCTTTGTTACCCTGTGTTACCCTTTGTTACCCTTTATTACCATCTGTTACCCTTTGTTACCCTGTGCTACCTTTGTTACCCTGTGTTCCCCTCTGTTACCCTATGTTACCCTTTGTTACCCTGTGTTACCCTTTGTTACCCTGTGTTTCCCTTTGTTACCCTTTGTTACCCTTTGTTACTCTGTGTTACCCTGTGTTACCCTGTGTTACCCTGTGTTACCCTGTGTCATCCTTTGTTACCCTGTGCTACCCTGTGTTACCCTTTGTTACCCTTTCTTACCCTGTGTTACCCTGTGTTCCCTTGTCTTACTTTTTGTTTCCCTGTGGTATCCTTTGTTACCCTGCATAAGTATTGTTTGCAATTTCTCTTGGGACGGCTGAATTACCCAAGAGAAATGAAAAATAAAGGTTATGCCAAATTTTGGGAGGCAAATAAGGTGCCTTGTAGGAGATGTGCAATTAGCAAATGTTGCTTCTTTATCATTAGCTTGCTCCAGGCTCCGAGATTAAGTCTGGTTTGCTGAATTGAGAAAGCGGGAACACGAAATTAAATCGTGCTTTTTACTTTCGCGTCTTTCCCCACTTTCTGGTATCGGTATCATAGATTACGGTCATAATGGAGACTTCCGGTCAGATGATGGGTTTTCGACCTTCCATTGGGGAGGGGTAGGGCTCCCCGCGGGGACCAGTGTATCTTCTGAGCGGTCGCTAAGCATGCAGACAAGATGGCGGACAAAACTTGGTTGCTGTTTAGTTTGTTAACTTTTGCTTGCCTTTCCGAACCCTGTGATTCACCGAATGCACTGATTTGCTCTGACTCTATTAATAAGATATCTCCGGTAAGTGATTACTACTGAAAACCCCCCAGGAGTTTCCCAAACGTGAACATGTTAAGAGCACGCGACAAAGTGTCTAGCGTGAACATTCACACATTTTTTATTGAGTCTTTATTATAGACATACGCGGAAGCTCCTTCTCTAATTTTTTAAAGAAGGGTATAAAAAGTTACTTAATGGTTCTCTCTCGACAGCTCGGTTATCTGGTAATCATACTTTTATGACTTCAGTTCTCTAATGTTGATCTTACATTACTGCAATACTGGTGCAAGAATGGACCAATGTTGCTATAGTAAGCCTAGGCCTGTTTCACACTTAATGACTTAACAACATAGCGACATAATAACTTAAAAAGCTTATGTCGCTTATGTACGGTGGCTCGTAAGTACTTATGTGATAATCAACATAACAACATTACTAGAAGTAAAAATGGAAGGTGGCATAGTAGACTATCCTTGTTGCATTTACCTCTACTTTGCCTTCCATATGAAGTGCTCTTCCTCTCATTAATCTACTCAACATATTGTCAGTGAAATCTGTCCACCAGCCACATGCCCTTAAATTTGCCTCCCGCTGGCACAAAAAGGAGTTGACTTGTCAAGTGTTTTTCAGAATTATTATTTCCAGTATGTCAATCAAGTACATAACTATAAATTACATGATATGCCCTAAGATAGAACTTTTATAAATGATGCACAAGAACTAATATCGGAAAACAATGAAAATCAGTTTTTCCCTTATGGCATTATATGTTCCATGATCCATGATGTTGTTATAATGTGAGTGTCTTAAAACAAAGACCCCTAAGACCCCTCACCGAATGTGTGATTCCAGAAAATATCCATACCCCTCCCACGGATGGTTCTTCCGATTAGACCCCCCCACCCCCTCGGAATTTCCATTCCAGAGGGGTCATGTATAACCCCCCACCCCCCAGGAATTTCCTATTTTCCTTTTCATGGCCTTTATTTGCCGCATTTAGAGATTATTGACAGTGTGAAATGCGCGAGGCACAAAAACAGAGATTAATATGTTTATGTCATCTCAAGAAAACATTTACAGCATAACTTCAAATTTGAACTATTCATTGAAATAAAACTATGTGAACATTTTCGAATTTCAAAACAAATCTTCTTACAGGCAAAGTTTATCGGCAAATCTTTGGCTTCCGGTCCCAAAGTTGATTTCTGATACTGTAATTAAGTTTCAATGATGTGTACACGTCTAGACTAAGTCAGTTTCATCTCAAATGCAACATTAACAGCATAACTTCAAAGTTAACTATTGATTTAACATTAAACTATGTGAAGATATTCGAATTTTAAAACGGATCTACTAAGAAACTAACTTACAAACAAAGTTTAGCATTAGTGTAAATGTTTGGCCTCAGGTCCTAAAGTCACCACAAAGTCGATGTTTGTCATTAATTTTAACTTTGAATGAATTACACTTGCACTGAAACAAATTTCAGGAATTACAAAAAGACTTATTTGGGTTATAAAAGAACTAAATATGCGAACATTCATTTTGCGTTCCATCATCGATTCATGTTGCAATTCAGAAATGAACATCAGTGAAACACGATCTATTTCGTTGCCTAGCACGTGATCAAAAGTCTGCGCGGCAAAGAAGAAACAGATTGTTAACATTTTCGGGCAAAAGTTGATTTGGCGAGAAGTCTGTTCGACAAACAGCTTGCCTTCAACGGTACTTTATTAGAAGTCAATAATAAAATACAGCAGAGCTCTCATTTTGGTTGTCACGCAACGCTTTGTCGCGATGAGCTCCCTGAATGTCAACAGGAATTTGCATAAAGTTGTTTACACCAAGCTCGAGAAATATAGTGCTGAGGTAGACGACGTTTGTTCTTGATTAGCCTAAGTTTTTATCAGACTAATCTGCAATCGAGTCCGCAATCTAGATACATGTTTGACATTATTAATCGATGCGCTAAAATTTATTCCCAGAAAAGCAAGGGACCTGCT